ACTTGTTACGAATGTGTAGATTGTCAAAATGAGTAGGAATTCATTCATATTAAAATGGTTGGATTAGTGGAAATTTTTAAAGTTACTTGTAGCCCTATCCAGCATGGGCTACTGAAGTGGGGTCACTTGGCTGAATGTGGGGTGACACAAAATGACCATGCAGACCCAGAAAATGCCTTTTTCTGGGCATCAGGATGGCTTCCCCACCTCCAGCCACAAGCTCCCCAAGGAAGAGCGAGAGAAAAGGGAGGGGGTGAGAGAAAACTGGAGGCTGGTGAGAGAGGGGAGCTATTCCATGGAACATTCTAGCCAAACAACAAACAGGGGGGTGTAATTCAACCCCATTGGGTGATGCCCAGTCCCAAAGTTGCACCCTTGTATCCCAGCAGAGGCAAGTCCACATGCATTGCAGTGGGTGCAGTGCAAGTCCAGTACCTCCTTGCTCAGGACTTAAAGATGTGTGCGTAACTCCTGTTCAGGGCGCCCCGACAGTTACTTTATGTCATTTGGCCCCTGGATGTCACTAGTTTACTAAATGGCAGCTATTAGTATATGCCTGTGACTGAGGTCTTCATAAAAGCTGAAATTAAATAGTTCATTTGCAGTCACAGCTCATAAGAACATTTGAACTTTTCAAAAAATTGTGAATGACATGCTATAAAGAAGATAATGGATTGGAAAAAAACAAGAATTTGGCATAATTATTGATCTGATATTTAAAAAGGGGCATTGTAATTCTTTAGGAAGAGTAGAAATTTATATACCTTTTTTTGCATGTTTGTGAGCAATGTGAGTCTTAAAAGATTATTCCAGTTTTCAGTGAATTTTTCAGAATATAAGTCAGTCAGCATTATTATTTATCAAAATTAATTATTTTCAAAATTAATTGATGTGTTTTTAAAGTTTGGGACCAAAGTAGGATAGAATAATTATGGACTTAATTTAATTGTAAAATTATTAGAGGTATTTGTTTATAAAGCTTTATATATTAAAGAGAAGTATTGGTGTATATAAAAACAGTAATATTATTGCTATGCTTGTATTCCTGCATTACAGGGTAAATAAACCCAGAAGAAATCTTATTTTAATACAGCTACAATAGCTTTTAGGATACATCAACATTTCCTTATAAATTTTAGCTTCCTGGTTGAATGTCTCAGCTCTTTCAGAACTTTCAGCCAAGCTAAATCTTTTTAAGTGTTGAAACTCAGTAAATTAAGTAAGCTGGGTTTTTTTTTCCTTTTGCAGTAATCCACAATCTGTTCTTTGTGTGGGCTGGCACCTATTTGTAATTTTTACAATAAAGACTGCTTAAGGAGCCAAATACAGTGATTTTGCTTGGTACTATTGAGCATGAGTACAATAGTTTGTTTTCATTAATGTAGTTTTCATAGTATATTTCAGAATTTTAAATCTTGACCATAGAATAGTTCATTCAGTAGCAAAAATGTACAAAGGTGGTCTGGTATGTGATGGTATGTGAATAAAGCTAGGCAGATAGTAAGTATATAATTAGTGCTTGATTTATAAATTGCAAATGTTAACCATCCCCCCTCCATATTTTCCTTTAATTTTCTTATTACTTCAAAATGAGTTGACTCTGATTCTCAACCTTAGTTGCATATTAAAATACCCTGCAAAGCTCAAAAAATATTGATGCCTGGGTCCCCTCCCATAACAACTAAATCAGGATCACTCATTTTTAAAACACATTCCAGAGGGCTCTACTGGACATCCAGGGTTGAGAACCAATAGTTTTGTTTGCAAGTATCAGAATAGAATACTTCAATTTGTAGCTACTTGGTGATTGATTACATTTCTTAGTAATTTCTTTAGGAATAAAAAGTACTTGGCATTTCTTAATTGGAAAGTAATTTTTTCTTTTTTAAAAAGTCTAGTAGTGGGGCTGGGCATGTGGCTCAAGCGGTAGCGCGCTCGCCTGGCATGTGTGCGGCCCGGGTTCGATCCTCAGCACCACATACAAACAAAGATGTTGTGTCCGCCAAACACTAAAAAATAAATATTAAAATTCTCTCTCAAAAAAAAAAAAAGTCTAGTAGTTTAACTTTTAATGTTTTATCTTTCTTCCCCATTTGCCTTTAAAACTTACAAAAATAGTGTTTATGTATTTGAAAAAGCATACTTAAAAATTACAGATGAGAAGTATTGTCATTGATAATTACATGCTGTTTTAATATGGTCACTTTATCCTTTACTGTAATACTAGATTACAGTGGGCTCATTAAAAGTTTGCTGTTTCAGATACGTGGGGTGAGGTTTGTTTGTTTGTTTTATCATTTTCCTCCTCTTCTAAATTTTTAGGATTTTTTATTTTTAATTTTTTCTTGTTCAAGTACTTAAGTAGTTTGACTCAAGTACTTTGTTTACAACTAACATGGATATTATAGCATTTAGTAGAAGAAACAGTTATGGTTTACCTCGAAAGAATGTCAGCATGACTTGGTATAGACTTAAAAGAATACGTGTTGTGAATATTTTATAATGTGGAATGATCATTGAAATATCAAGGACTCTAGTAATTGTATTTCCTGAATAAATGCTTGTTTATGAATCTTTTAACTTACAGTTTGTTGTTTCCTCTGCCAGCAGTCTGGCTTTGTAGATTTTATTGTCCAAAATTCACTAATATTGTGTCTTTAAAGGTTGTTGTAGTAATAGTACAAAATGGAGAAAAATGAATTATTTGCTTTCTCCTTACTTTTCAAGTACTTTAAAACTAATTTGTATATTAACATGTTTTTTAAAATACTGGCAAATGATATGCTTCTACTTTTTTAGTTTGAAATAATATTTCTCCAAGATGGATGTAAAAATAACACTTTTACAACAAATGACTTCATTTATCAATTTAATTCTGATTCTAAAGTTTATTTAAAATAAAATTTGTATGTGTTTAAAAAAAGAAGGGCTAGAGATATGTCTTTAGGTTCAGTCCCCAGTACTACAAAAACTAACAAAAAATCCCAATTATTTTCCTGCCTAAACGTAAAACCCTCATTACCTTGAAACCAAATTAAAACCTTGGTTTTATCTAATTTGTATCCTACTTAAATTCCCATTTATTGAAAAATACATAGTTTATTCCAATCCATATTCAAATAATCCTGAAGTAAATCACAATTTTAAAAGGACGCTAACATAAAAGAGTGTCCTCTAAAAACCCATTATCATTCAATACTGAGAAGCCTGGATCAATTTGCTTTTGACAATCAACACTGTTGGTCTCCTACAAGTTGTTGCTTGCTTCAGTGTTAGTTTTATTTGATAAATTTTATTGACTGGGGCTGGGGTTGTGGTTCAGTGGTAGAGCGCTTGCCTATGTGTGAGGCACCGGGTTCGATTCTCAGCACCACATATAAATAAATAAATAAAATAAAGGTCCATTAACAACTAAAAACACCTTTAAAAAATGTATTGCCTAATTGCAGGACACCTAGTTAAATTTCTCTTGCATTTAAAATGTTAGCTGAAAAACTTCCTCATCATTATGCATTGACTTACTGAATCCTCCCAAGAACACAAACTAGGAACCCATATGATCTTGCTTTTACAGATGAGGAAGCCAACACTCAGCAAAGAAAGGGTTCATAGCCTAGCACATGACTCCACCATAGTTTGGGGAAGTGATGGAGATGGCACTGGAAGTATGGCTTCAGAGCCTCACTAGGGGTTCTCCCTACACTGCCTCCTGGGGGTAACTCTAAATTTGGTCATGTGAGTGAAACTGGGGAGGGAACAAAGCACTAAATCTTGCAAAGTGCACCAGCCACACACCCTCTGAGGCGGCTAATAAGGACTCCACACAGTACCATCAGGGCACGAAGACACAAAATACTCAACATGTGCCTGTTATTGCATGTGAGCTACCTGACTGTCATATTTACCAAACAGTCCCAGGTGATTTTAAAAATTTGCCCAGGTTTTCTGACATTATTTTTTAAAAATCTTTTAGGGTTCAGGTAACAAGAATTTTATAACCAGGGACTTGTACAGTACTAGAATCAAATGAGAAATACATCAGAGAACTCTCAATATTTTATAATGGTCTCTCTGCCTCTGACTTGCCTTATAATGTCTGGCTGTTTCTATCAGAGTCAAGAAAGTCCAGAGATTGTGGATCCACTCTGAGCTGCCATTCCCTGAAGAGAGGAAGTGAGTAGGATAAGTGAAGCCATAGGGCCATCACCTGCTTGCCCACCCACGCCTAGCCAGGATGCTATCTCCAAGAGCTCTAGGCTTCTTGTTCTCACCTAAATATGCATCTCTTGGAGTCTCTCTATCCATTGCCCAGGTCTCCCTGTCTTGTTCACATGTGATAATTTCTCAGATTTAAAAGGTTGTTGCACTGAAAAGATGTAAGGCTTAGGTACATTTTGGCGAAGCAAACAATAATCTGAAAATGCAATCCTAATCCCATGAACTTCAGGCCTCTGAAGGGTAAACAAGGGAAATATTCAGGACTGGATTGGCCAAATAAAACTGTTTTATGGGGCTGGGGCTGTAGCTCAGTGGCAGAGTGCTTGCCTTGCAAGTGTGAGGAACTAGGTTCAGTCCTCAGCACCACATAAAAAATAAATAAAATAAAGGCATGCTGTCCATCTATAACTACAAAAAAATTTTTTTTAAACTGCTTTGTAACAGTGCAGTGGATTAAATGTGTTTGTCCTTCTAAAGCTCACGCTGAAATCCTAAACCCCAGTGGGATGGTATTAGGAGGTGAGATTGGGGGAGGTAACTGGGTCATAAGGGTGTAAAGGTGGAACCCTCATAAATAGAACTAAGTGCCCTCAGAAAGATCCAGAAAACTCCCTTACCCCTTTTTGTCATGTGAAAATACTATGAGGACTTGGCACTTTGCGACATGGAAGAGGACCCTCACCCAAAGCCGAACCATGCAGGCATCCTGATCCCAGACTCCAGACTCTGGAACTGTGAGCAGTAAGTGTCTATTGTTTATAAGTCACCCAGTCTCACAGCAGTTTGTTACAGGCCCAAACTAAGTTTTATTTTAAAAAGGATTTAAAGACCATAAACATCTTCCTTCCGGGGAATAAGAACACAGCAATAAACTCGTGTCAATTACCCACAGAAGTTCCCGTCACCCACAGACACCAGGTTCCTAAAGTTCTCCAGCATCACGTCTTGGTACAGCTTCCTCTGGGCAGAGTCCAACAGCCCCAGCTCCTCCTGGGTGAAGACCACAGCCACATCCTTGAGGGTCAAGGGCTCCTAAAATGTGAAGAAGCATCATGAACACAAACATTCACTATACAGAGATAAATTTGGGATCACCAAGGAGACAAGAAAACAGAAACTTGTTCAATTTGGCAAGTCAAATCAAGTTTATTAATGTTTGGTGCCAATAATTTCAATTACAACCTAATAAACAACTTTTCACTTTTGATACGTTTGTTATCAACCCTGCTATTGAAAGAGCCACTGAAACTGTGATAATGAATAAGTAAAAAAATGAGCAAAAGCATTTCAATAGATATCAGAGAAGAGAAAATACAGATACAGACCTGCCAATAAACACGACAAGGTGCTTATCACACTTACTATCCAGGGAACTGTAAAATACAATAGATCTCAGCCACACACCCTCTTCAATCATATCGGCCAAAGTGTTTAGTACTGAGACACCTTGGAATTGAAAATAGGAAGAACATGAATTGTGTTATGATTTGGATATGAGTTGCCCCCCAAAAAAACTCCTGCGCTAATATTCAGAGGTTAAATGATCAGATTATGAGATGTAATCTAATCAGTCTGTCCTAATTTGAATGGACTTCTGGGTGGTAACTGTGGGCAGGTGGAGAGTAAATCATGGGGGCCTGTCCTTGGGGATTATATCTTATTCTCCTGGCTCCCCCCTCACTTTCTCTGCTTCTTGGTCACCATCTCCATCGCTGCCTTTCTCGCCATGCTCTTCTGCCATGAATAAAACTGAATAAACAAATAAAGATATTGTGTTCATGTATAATAAAATATTTTTTAAAGATTCTGCTATGAATAGGGTAAAAAGAACTCAAGAGATAACTAAACAGCAGAATGAATGAACACCAAGCCAATGAAATGGAAAGCACGGCCCTGTGTGGTGCCACACACCTGTAATCCCAGTGGCTCGGGAGTTTGAAGCAGGAAGATCACAAGTTCAAAGCCAGCCTCAGCAACGGTGAGTCGCTAAGCAACTCAGTGAGACCCTGTCTCTAAATAAAATAAAAAGTAGGCATGGGATGTGGCTCAGTGGTCAAATGCCCCTGAGTTCAATCACTGGGACAAAAAAAAAAAAAAAAAGTGGGGGGAGAAGCAGGGCAGGCTCCTGGGCTCCTAGAGCACAATGGAAAATTGCAAAAAAAAAAAAGTTAAAGAACAGGTAAGATAGATCCAGAAGTTATATTCTCTATTTAACGGGAGTTTAAAGAGAAGTGAATAAGTAAAGTAGTAATAATAGACATCTAGGCAGAAAAAGAACTTATTAACAGAAAAAAACATCAAATGAAATAGAGTGTGATCCACGAAAATGACACACAGCCAACCATAAACACAAAAGAACTTTCTGGAAAAACTGACCAGAATAAAGCATATTTCCACATCCTAATATTTTCATCTATTTTACCTCCCTTGATAGCAGCTTAGGATCTAGGTGACAGATGAATAAAACCATAATGCACCACCAACACAATGCATGAACACAGAGTCCCTCCTACCAAGTTTTTTTTTAATCTGTTATAAAGAATGCTTCAGCAATCACTCTGTAAAATAAATTCTTAGAACGGGAAATCTGGACTAGAGAAAGGCTGAAATGACCCAGCTATTGTGCAGATGCACCTGTTTCTCCACACTCCACACGGTGAAGACTGGTCTTTCAAATCTTAGGCCACCTGCTAGGAAAAGAATCACAACTCGCTTCAATCTGGCATCACTCTAATTAATGAGAGCTGATCATATTTTCATGATTATTGATCATTTGTTTTTCTCTTTTTCTTCATTCCTAAACAAAAATGCTTAGGTGTTTATTTTTACCCATCTTTTAAAAATGAGAATATTAAAACCTTGTTGTAGATGAAATATTTTTTGCCCCAATATGTTGTCTTTTAACAGTTCATGGGGTATTTTTTGGTAGCAGATATTACATGGTGCTATGGTTTAGATATGAGGTGTCCCCCCACAAGGGGACACTTAAATTATTCCTGTTAATGCAGATATAATTTAGAGGTAAGATGATCGCATTATCAGAACTGTAGCCTAATCGTCCATCCTACTTTGAATGGACTGACTGTTGGTAACTGCAGACAGGTAGGGAATGGCTGGAGGAGGGTTGTTCTTCCTGCCAATCCCTGTAGCACCCCTTTCTGCTTCCTGAACCTGCCATGATCTGAGCAGCTTTCCTCTGCTGGCCCCTTCCCACATGATGTGCTGGCTCACCTTGGGCCCAGAGCAATGGAGTCATCCATCTATGGATCGAGACCTCTGAAACTGTGAGCCCTAAATAAACTTTCCCTCCTCTAAATTATTCTTGTCAGGTATTCTGGTCACAGCAAAACAAAAGCTGACTAAAACCCATGGAGATTATTATATCTATAAATGAATAAGAGAAACATCCCAGAGAGAAGAACCCAGGCAGAGAAGCAGGACCTGTTATTTGGAGAGTTGCCTCTCAGGCCCCACCATGAAACTATTATTGTAGTTCAGAGGCAGATGACGGAGTCATTCTAACCTGGGTTCAATTATTCCAAGATTCACCACTCATTTCTTCATCTCTAAAACAGGATCATACCGTCTCTCTCACATAGTTGTTTGTGGACAAATGCAATGAGAAATGAGGTGTACTCACCCAATAATTTTTTTCTTTTTCCTTTAACCAAGGGAGGGAGATAGGTTTACTTTCTGATGCCTGAGGGGGTATTCCTGAAAGAAAAGAAAACTCAACCCACCTGGAACTTGCTCTGGTCTTTGCTGTCTTGGGAAAGGGCTGGGGCTTGAGAAGGAAGAGCTGCAGGAAGAGAGGGGAGCAGGCTGGCGTCTGCCTCAACCTCCCAGACTCCGCAGGCACCTGGGGAGGTGCCACTTCACAGACTGGCTTCTTCCCAACCCAGGCGACTCCCCAGTCACTTAATTTTCCCTCCACACCCAGCTGGAATTCTCCCTTCCCCACCCCTTAATTTTTTCTCACCCTTTTCCTCATGGCAGGAGGTCAAAATCTCCATGGTCTCTTTTCCTAGGTTTTCTCGGAGCAGCAATGATTTTATTTATTCTCTCATCTTCCTAAACTGGGGAAACAGAAGACCCAGGCCTTCTTCATTCCTGGGTTTCTCCAAACTCTGACCATGCTGGTCCAGCAGACATTTGAAGGCAGAGTACCTGATTGGTCCCCAGGCTCTGGGGACCTGTGGGCTCAAAAGGGAATTTTATACCTTGTCTGAGTCCTTTCCTCTGGGCCCCAAAGCTTAGGCTCCCCAGTAGGGCACCTCAGGGAACTACTCATTCAGTAGGCTCCAGGACATCTGCTGAGAAGCTGTGACATCTGCTGGGGCGGGGAGCAGTGGCTCATAGTCCAAGGGGCCCAGAATGCTGCAGATGGCTGAGGATAGTTCCAAATATGTCACTGGGAAGGTCTAGCAACTGTGAGGCCTGGGGCCCCATCAGAAGGCTGGGAGATCCTGCGAACATATGGAACCTATGTCCTTTGAAGAAAAACTGAGAATGTAAAAGCTTTATTAATGCAATATTGTGGGGCTTATAAAAAATAAAATACACCCTGATCCTCAAAAGGATCCTAAAATTCAGGATACAGATTAGTCACTGCTTTCTAAATTAGAGTTTTAAACCTTTTTGGTGCCATGATCCCCTTGGTAGTCTGGTAATACTCATGGACTTCTCAGAAAAAAATGTTTTAAATGCATAAAATGAAATACACAGAATTCTTTAAAAAGCTAATATTGAAATACAACCTTCAAAAGTATTAAAGCACCAAGTATGTGCTTCATCAGCACATTAAATATGAAGAACAAATTAATTTCAAAAGTAATGAGTCTGAACAATGGTTTAAAATATCTGAAACTAGAGAATGATATAAATATCTTTATGATTTAGATGGTTAACAAAATCACAGGTATTGCTAATACTATATAGTTTATTACCTGCAATCATAATTAAAGAAAAAAATAATCTTCAATTAAACCATGTACCTTCTTTTCCTGCTCAATTTCATGAACACATTGAGTTATATACCCATGGACTTCAGTTCAACAACTCCTTTTCCAAGTGAAATATCTCCTGACACCACCAGAATCAACTGTCACTCTGGGATCTAGTAACACCTTGTTTAAATTGATGGTTATCACCTTCCACATAGCCACTCCTTTTAAGTATTTTATCATCCAGGGGATTGGATTGTCTTGCTTTATTTGCCTTCTCTCCCTTACATGGGTCTGTCATGTTGAATTCACTTAAGCAATTCCATCTACAGGATATGACATGGAGGTCAACAGAACTTTTAGAACCAGCTTGGGGCTGGCCAGTTTGCAATGCAGACACTGAGCATGAGGCCCCTCCCTTACCTCTTTGCCTGACCTGTTTTCTCTCAAAATTCAAACCTCAAGGACAAGTTCAGATGAACAGATCCACATATTTGGGCTGTCCACTCTAAGAGACTCCCTGAATTTGACCACTTCAGGAGCTCAAACCTCCACCTTCATTCTAACCATCTGTATCAGGCCTTCGCTCAGCCTACTCTAAGGAGCACCTTTCTGATTGTTCATGTTCTGACATATTTCCAGGAATTGTTCAGAAGCAAGTATGGAATACGGCTACCTTCCTTCCTCCACAGAGGACAAAGGGAAGAGCATAGTCCAGATCTACAACAGGACCTCCTTGCCAAATGTCACTGAAACTCACATACTCAGGAACCTGTAGGACTGCGCTTTATAAACTTCACATGTTTAATAATCATCATGATTACAAAAACAGAATGCAGGAATTCAACTGCAAAGATTCTGATTTGGTGGCCCTGCATGGAGCCCCAAAATCTGAATTTCTAACAAGTTTCCAGGGTGATTTGACACAACTGGTCCAGAGACCATATTTTCAAGTAGCACTTGCTAAGTTGACCCAGCTTCCTATGACTGGCTAATTTTCATGGTTCCCTGAAGCTCCCAGTTTTACAAAAATCTCCTTGTGAATTTTCTTCATATCCGTGATCTCTACTAGTCAGGACTGCCTCTAGATTGAGTTGATGAAATCTTCTCCATCTGTGTACATTCACTCTCGAGGTAATCACATCTCACCTTATGGCTTCAAATATCATCTACAGGTTGGTGTCTCAATGCCCACCTGTGTATCTAAAAGGCACCTCAAACTTAACATGGCTAAAACCAATCTCCAGAGTTGCTTCTAGAGGTACTTCTCCCTTTCAAATGAGCAGGCCAATAATCTGGAGTGATCCTTGAGGTCTCTGTCTCACACTTCACATTCAATTAATCACCAAATACCTTTAAATCAGAACCAGAATCTGACATTCTTTTATGACCATCTACAAAATCACCACCCTCCCTTGCCTGAATGACCCCGCTGGCCTGCAACTTGGTCTATCTGCTTCTGCTGCCGGCCCCTCACAGTCCACTTCCTACACAGCAGTCAGTCATTTTTGAAGTCATGTTACTTCTCCAGCCAAAGCCTTTACTTCTCTCAAAAATCTTTCACCAAAGACCTTACGATGGCCAAAAAACCCTACACTGGCCTCCCAAAAATTGAGTTCCTGTTTCTTCTTCTTCTTCCTCACTCCACTAAGACCCCTGTGGCCTCCTGACTGTTCTTTTATATATATATAAATTTTCTTTAGTTGTAATTGAACACAATATCTTTATTTATTTAATTTTATGTGGTGTTGAGGATCAAACCCAGTGCCTCACACATACTAGATGAGTGCTCTACTGCTGAGTAACAATTACAGCCCTCGACTGTTCTTTTTTTGGAGGGTAGGAGGGTGCCAGGGATTGAACTCAGGGGCACTCAGTCAATGAGCCACATTCCCAGCCCTATTTTGTATTTTATTTAGAGACAGGGTCTCACTGAACTGCTAAGCACCTCGCCACTGTTGAAGCTGGCTTTGAACTTGCAATCCTCCTGTCTCAGCCTCCTAAGCTGCTGGAATTACAGGCATGTGCCACCATGCCCAGCCTGACTGTTCTTTTAATAGACCAGTTGTGCACCCACTTCTGCGCCTTCACTACTGTTCCCTCACCTACAACTCTTTTCCCAGGTGTCCATAGCCCTCACCTCTTGTGGATCCCTGTCCAAGGACCACCTGCTTAAGTGAAATTCATTCCTGATTTTCTCACTTAACATTGCAGGCCCCTCTGCCAGCACTCCCAAAACCCAGGCTCTGTTTCCTTTTTCTCCACGAAACTCATCTAATGTGCCAACTATTTTTTTTTTGGCTCACTATCTTTCTGTACTCACTAGAATGTGAGTTCTATGAAAGCTGAGATTTAGTCTGCTCCTGGAAAATATCAGGTATTCAATATATCTAAATGGGAGAATGGAAATAACCTGAACTCAGTCTGCTGATACCTGGATCCTTTTGATACCACTTTTAGAATAAAATAGATTTATTCCCCCGTTTGTTTATTTAGTAAAGCACATGCTAAGTACTATGCTGAATGTGTTTGCAATACAATGGGGAATAGGAAAAGGACTCTGTTATGTAGCAAACATTCTAGTTGGGAAGACACAGGTGTGTGCTGAAACTCAATGTATCAGATGCTTTGGATATCAAGAAAGATATAGTCCTTGATCATGTGGAACTCAAAACATGGCCAAAAAGAGGAAATAAACTGGGGGTGAGCTGGGTGCACACCTGTAATCCCAGCAACTCAGGAGACTGAGGCAGAAGGATCCCAAGTTCGAGGCAAGCCTCAGCAACTTACCAAGACCCTAAAAAACTCAGCATTTAGTGAGAACTTGTCTCAAAAAATATATATAAAAACAAAAAGGCCTGGGGATGTGTCTCAGTTGTTAAGTGTCCCTGGGTTCAATACCTGGTACCAAAGAAAAGAAAAAGAAATAATTGGGAACAGAGGCAGTGGGGTAGAGTGGTAATTGGAGCAAGAGTCATTGCAAAGGTAGAAATAACAAGACTAGATGAATAACTACATGAGATGAATAGGAGAAATCAAATATGAGTCTGGAGTTGAAGTTCGAGAGAAACAGGTAAATTATGAAGTTACTAATCAATATAGTGAAAGAAGAAATAGGATTTTGAAAGCTAAAGTTCTTGTCTCTCAATACTGGAGCTGTTAAAAGCCTGGATTCAAATTCTGGCTCAGTCACTTTATAGTTAGTTTATTTCAACACTGGAAGAGTGACATAAACCTCTAATAGTTTGTTCTTCTGTTAAATGAAGTAATGATTCTTGTTGCAGAGTTGAAAGAATTCTCTCTCACACACATAGAAACACACACACACACACACACAAATGTGAACAGGGCACACAGTCTAGTACTTGGCACATAGAAAATCCTCAATAAATTATTATCCTGTTATTCATCCAACCCAGCACTAACCTAAGAATATAAGCATTCACTCATTTAACAAACATACATTCAGTGCTTTGCTAAATCTTGGACACCACAGGAAACACTGGGGATACTGCAGTAAATAAGATGAATAGGATAGTTAAATAAGATGTATAGGGTAATAGCACTCATGGTGCTTGTATTCTGTTAATGAGAGTCGCGAGCCATCCATGGATTGTGTGTGTGAGCTATGTGCATTAGAGCTATATGAGGGGACAGGTCTGGCATTGCACGCCGATTCAGCTGTGCAATACAATTGCGCCTTTCCTCTCCCTCTGCCTGTGATCCCATACAGCACCTGAGATGGGTGTGACTTGCCAAGATGTCAATCAATCTGCTGACCACAAGACATCACAAAGCAAGACTCCACCTCTGAAACATTATCCCCTGCCTTATTGGGTGAAGAACACTCCATCTAAGCTCCTTTGTGTGTGTCCCTCCTATAAAAATAAAGATTCCAGGTGCACGCTCTCTTTCTAGCGCTGTCCAGCATGAAAGCTGACGCCTTAAGGTTGCAGAGCCATCCTGCCCTTAATCTGAGAAACTCATGTCCATGTGTTGTGTGGTTTCTTGATGTTTTCTTAGCTTAATGTTGCAGCCAACTCTTTTGAATCCAGCTCATCTCATCAGTGCAGGCAGCTAGCGAGAAATGAGTCAGCAGGTAAGGACACCTTTGATCAAAAAAGGAGTAATAAAGAAAACAAAATGAACATGATTGACTCCTGTTTACTGATCAGAATGTATATTCTGTCAGATGGAACATAGGTGGCAGGATGAGAAAGGGAACATTAAATCAGGTGTCAAAGGTGGACTCTAAGACTGCATGAAAATAAATCAGCTGTGCAAAGATATGAGATGAGATGCATACAGAAGGAAGTGCAAATGCAAACCCCCTGATTTCTGTTCAGGTCATACTAAGTTTCTTATCATTTTGTAAGCCTCGGCATTCTCATCTGTCGCATGAGCCTAAGGATGCTTAACTTACAAAGCTGCTCAGCAAATTAAACAGATATGTATGTATTCATTCAAACATTTACTAATGGTCTACTATATGCTATAGGCTGTTCTAGAAACAAGGGGTACAGCAGTGACAGCCTTAGCATAATACCTGGCACATAATAAGCCCTCAGCTAATGCATACCACTGCGGTCACTGTCATCACTTCTTCCCTAACACAACCCTGAAAGTAACCATGAGTGACTTACTGATCAAATGAACCACCAGAAGGAGCCATGGAGAGAATACACTAAACACAGATGCTGGAAATTTCTCCACCCTTAGAAGAAACCCACTTCTGGGGGGAAAGCAACCAAGGGGCTTAGAAGGGCTTTTGCAAAAACCATGGGATGAAGAATGAGGTCAGGAAAGCTGGTTACCATTTGGCAAGAGCTGGCATTGCCACAAAACAACAAGAAACTACAGTTCTACTCACTTAGAGCTCTAATATCAAGAGTCCAATGGTTATTTCTTCTTCCTCAATGCAGTTCTCTGGGAACAGTCCCAAGAAGACACGCTGTGGAACAAAAATGAACAGTAAGATGATTTAATCACAATTCCCAGCACAGGGGGAAATCTCAGGTGCTAGATGGATGTAATCTACCCCTTCCTATAATCTGTCCCTACTACTACTTTCAAGGGCCCTACAAGACCCAGAGAGAAAGGTCCATGACACTGCACTGCCTACAGGACTGCACTCACTGAGACTTTCGGGAGAGAAGAATGAGAATCAAGTCTCAAGATGTGAATTCTGAGCTGGGCTCTCCCGTGCTGTGTGACGATTGATAGCGGAATCCAACCTGGGCGCTGCACTGAACTACAAACACCACAGCCAGCAACCAGACGGGCCAAGCATCGCCTATAACATGCACAAGGCATAATAACTTTGAAAAGAATAGGAGAAATCAACTTGTGCCCCCCTGAAAGAACGGAAGGCAGCATCAACACCCCACTGTTGGGCTCTGAGTCTCCTAATTGAGAGACGCCGGTCTCAAAGCGGAGGTGCAGAGCGACCTCAAAGTGCCCTTTCCAAGTGTGAGGTCCAAGTGCTGCCCGCGGGCCGCCTCCTCCAACGCTTCTTCCTCAGCCCTCGCTCGTCGAAACCGCCTGGCTCCTACCTTCCCGCACAGGCCGCCTCTTCCCCCAACTGCTAGAGACCAGACTGTCCCTGAGAGACAAAGACCACCCCCACCCCGCCATAACACAGGGAGACAGGCTCACGTCTCCACCTAAACTCGCCAGAACTTAAGAAACCGCCCTGCGGTGGCCCGAAACGGAAGTGCGCGCCTCTGAAGGGCCCGGACTACATTTCCCACAACCCTCTGCGGTGCGCGGTCTCCTCAGGCTCCAACAGACAAATGCTGTAAAGAAGGTGAAGTGACAAATTACAGGCTGGAAGAAAAAATTTACAAACCACACATCCCACCATGAAGACCACAGGGGCACAATCTTTATAAATTCACAACCTAAATAAATTGGTTTCCAAGCAATTATTGTTTCCAAAAAATCATATGTTAAATAAAGGGCTAGTGTCTGGAATATACAAATAACTTAATGGAACAAAACTAAACAATCCAATCAGAAATTAGAAAACGGGCAAAAACACATGAGCAGGCATTTATCCAAAGAGTACCTGCAGATGACTAATAACCACATTCAACTTCGTTAACATTAAGAAAAAGCAAATTAATGTAAATTAATTCCACTCTCAAACACTTAAAACCAACTGCTGCTATGGTTCTCATGCTGTAGTTCTAGGATCAGGAGAGTCATTGTGAATTTCCTTGAGCCCCAGGGATGCAAAAAAAAATCTCTGTAAAAGGAAGTTACCTTCCTCTATTTGGATGCATGGCAAGGTTTAAGAACCATCCATGAAAATGAAAAGGTTTGTTGGGAGAAGGGGATCTCAACTTAGCCCTGGCAGGGTTTGGGGGTGGGGGGCAGGGGTTGAACCCAGAAGCGCTTAACCACTGAGTCACATCCCCAGCCCATTTTGTTTTAAGACAGGATCTTGCTGAGTTGCTTGGGGCCTCACTAAGTTGCTGAGGCTTACTTTGAACTTGAGATCCTCTGCCTCTAGGCATGTACCAAATTCAGTGGCCCTGGCAGGTTCTTGACTTATGCCACAGAAAGGCATTTCAGAGTGTGTCAAAAGAGGCATGAACAAAGATTCACTTAGGAAAGCAAGATTTGTTCCAGAAAGCAAGAAATAGAGCAGGATACACACCCAAAGTGAGAAGGATTGAGGGCACTCCACACTTTGGTGATCGTGGGTTCTTCTTTTTAAAGGGAATTTTGTAAACAGTGAGACTTAGAAGTATGTGGGGGCGAGTGATGTCAGCTGGGGAGCTCAATTCTCATGGTGTACAGGGCTGGTCACAATGGTCTGGTTCTTTCAGGATCAAGAGCTGATGTCATTCAGTTGATAATGTTTGATATATACCCATATCTTATGGCTCTGCATAAGTCTCACAATAATTTCCCTCTGCTTTATTTAATCTAAAGAGAGCTGGCAATGTATGTAGGTATCAACTAACTAGACTCACGATACTCTAAGATTCAGGGCTTTTTAAGAATTTTGATCTGGAGGAAACAGGCTTGGGGAATAAAGGTGGGAGTGCGCGTGAAACTTCTAGGATTTAAGATTACTTTCTTTTATCTTGCCTGTTAGTCTCCTTTCTATCCATCCTCATTCCCTCTATCCTACCTCACACTGAACTAAATTATCTGTTATTTTAATGCCGACTCCTTGTTATTCCCCAGAGTCATGTGATGCTTAAAAATCAGTGTATGTCCTGAGAAATGCATTGTTACGTGATTCTGCCCTTTTGCCAACATCATAGAGTGTAGTTACACGATGTCACTAGGAGGTATCTCAAGGGACCACCATTGTACATGTGGCCTGTCACTGACTGAAGTGTCATTATATGGCATATGACTCTTTGTGTTCTAAATATTCGAGAATCTCATGAGCAAGGATTTGGACCAGGAGTGAAGAGGAGCAGGAAGCAGGAATAATTATATTTGACATTTTAAAAACACCGAGTCCCTAATCTTCCCTTGGCCATCTACTACTTTACATCTGTTATCTGTATTTCTTCCCCTTAAGGTTTGTCTCCTGAATGATGAATTTATGTTTGTCTGCCCCATACCTACCCCACTGTGCTGGGATGAGCTATATTCATTAAAAAAATTTTTTCATCCTTGTTTTCTTCCTACGTTTTAACAAAGAGCAAAGGATGGCCCTGTTAACATTTTACCCATCTCTTCAATGATAACCATGACCAAATATTCCAAGGGAGTTGAGTCTGTTTATTAATCACATCTATATCCTCATGCAGCCCACACACCTACCCACTAAAGACAAGTAATGAAGAGGTCAACTTTAGTACCAGATAATAAGGGGCGATAATCTATACCTTTAGGTGCTCCTTTCAATGTGTGAAAACACCCACAGTTTGCAATCAGTCTGGAAAAGGTTCCATTTCCTACAGAGACTATATAACAATAACTGCTAACAACTTTCATGCAGGACACTTTGGGTTGATCAATATTAAATGTCTTTTGTGAGAACTATCAGAATCCCAGTTTGCACTTTAGCACTCTTGATCCTGCAGACCTAGCCTGACCCATGTGTCCATAACTAAGGCTTTCTCAACGATCAGCGTTCCTGCCCCTGTGGCCTAAAAAACATGACACAGATGTCTCTGAGAGTGTTACTTATTGGCCATAAATGTTGAGTCCATTTTAATTTTTCGGCCTTAAGGTAAGCTGCTCACCAAAGAGCCCTGGCTCCATATCACCTGCTGCACAATAGATAGGTCCACAGGTTAAGATGTGACCTGAGAGGCTGCTCAGCCTGTAAGGGTTGCTGTTTACAGTTTAACTTGAGCTGTAACCTAGTCACCATATTTTACTTTAAAAAGTTTTTAAATTCAATGTTTTCTAAACAATTTGAGTGTCTCATACATAATCACAAAAAGCCACAATTTAGTTTCATTTAAAGTCAGAAACATTAGTCTTCCTTTTAAATAAAAAACAAAACGTACAACTAGACTTTATCCAGTGCAGAGAACAATACCCCAGTGTCATGCTGTCTTCCCATCCCATCATCCTATCTTCCTTAGTGGGACACAGGATGCCTGTGCACAGGTTGAGGCTGCACCACATGGGGGAAGCTGTGGTGACTTGAGTGCTCTACTTCTTGGGTACACATCTCGGAACTGATGTGTTACATACAAATCTAGATGATCAATACTATCAGCAAACTGAACTTGCATCTAATTAAAGCATGAGATTATTTAAAAAGATTGCAACTCCCTCTACCCTTGGGCAACATAATAATACATATACCGAGTATCAATAATGGAATGTTCATACAACTATTAGAGAATGATAACACCAGATAAATGAATTTGAAATTTCATCAGGAAAAAACTTCTGGCCTTTTTGTAGATGTTGTGCTATTTAACCTTTTCCTCAACTATTAAAATTTCAACAGATCCACTTATGATCACCTGTACATATTATTGTCACTTTTAAATAAACTAGCAATTCAGGTTAATGGCATATCCTTGACATTTTTCAACAATGCAGAAAGTTCAGAAATTAACAAACTTAGGGTTTCACACTGCCATAAAGTGTGTTGCAGGAGTCAATATGTCCTTTGTCCTCTCAAAAGGCAAGTTGTGGTGAAGAAAAATGTGAACTAACCAAATATAGAACCAAAGGAAAAGCTTCTGGTCGGAGGAGTCACCTTCCTGCTTCCTGGGCAGTTTTTACTTTACACATGTTTTATTAGTGCAGTATGGTTGTAGATAATTCCTAGGCAGTTTTAAATTCAGTTTTGAATTACTCTTTGAAAAATTAGTTCTAGAAGAGGATTTCTTAACATCCAGATATTAAAAACACTTCCATCACTTTTATTTCCAATTATACTGAGTAAAATGAAAGAAATGAAATCTGGCCTGTAAAATATGTACAGAGTTCCAATATTTTTTATCCAAATTGCTTGGGACCAGAAGTACTTTGAATTGCAGATTTTAGAATATTCACATAGGCATACTGAGGTATTTGGGGATGGGACCCAAGTCTAGACATGAAATTCATTTGTTTCACAGACACTTGACAATTTTACAATTTACACTATAACTTAGGTAATTTAAGTATGCCTTCACTTTTACTGTAACTTGTCACACAAATCCCACAAGTGGGATTTTCCACTTGTGGCATCATTTTGGCACCCAAAGTGTTTTAGACTTGGGAGCATTTAAGATTTCAGATTTTCAGATTAGAGATGCTCAGTCTGTGTGTGAATGTATACACAGTCATGTGTGTGTAATTAAAATCAAGTTATTGAATACCCTTTCTTAGCCCTAAACTTTAGGCTAAGAAATTTAACTCATATTTTTGGTATGTTGATACTTCTCTTTATTTTTGATTGATCATTTTGGAATTATCACACCTTTCTTGCAAAGGAAAATTATTAAATAAATGACAGAAAATTATTCCAAATTTTTAATTATTAAAATCTATTTTACTTCAAACACTTGGCAACCATAATCACCACCTAAGAACTGATACATTTATGACACAAACATGACACACATATTCAACCTTGCCAGGTAGCCGGAAAACACACACACACACACACACACACACACACACACAACCACTCACACAAATACTCATTTCAAATGTTTTTACAGTTTTACAAATTTCACATTGTCGATGAAATATTTCATTTACTGAAGAAATTTCTTTGGAATAAATCACTTCCAAAACTTGAAATCTTCAGAGCCCTAATTTTTAACCCATCTGTATTTATATTAATTTATACAATCAGAGATCTTTGCCTTTATCATTGGGGGAAGAGACTATTTAGGTTAGGTTTCATTGTTAAACTAAGATTTTCTACAATTCCATGTCCTTTCCAAAAGTCAATGAATGGAACTAAGAGTCGATTCTCCTGGGACAGAAGCAAGGTTTCCCGCCATTAACAACTGTCCCCTGAGACTTTCTGTCACTGTCAAGTTTGGCACATGCTCTGGCTTATTCCTCAAAGAGATGGTTCCCAAGGGTCATTTCATGGGGACAGAATGTTACTAATTACCCCTACCAAATATCACTTTAGGTTTTCTTCCTTTTCTCCAAAGAATTTACCTCTATTTTCTGCTCTCAGTTCATCTCTCCATTTATTTTGTTATTACTTAAGAACAGAGGCTTTCAGCATATGATTACCTACAGGATCAGAATTCATGATTCAGGGACAAGGGTCATGAAGGTATATGAAACAAATCTTAAAAACTGAAGAGTACCTATAAAATTTGCTTGACTAGAAAGCATTCTTGCAGGCTTAATTTAAATGAAGAGCACTCGGCCAGAATAGCACCACACACACACACACGCGCGCGCACACACACACACTCAGGGGACCCTCACATTAGGAACACATTCCAGAGAAAAAAATAATAATACCAAACATGGGGAGGAAAAAACCCACTTAGAAACAGTGCTCCTTTATACTGCTCTGAATATATGAAAATAAGCTCATTCACTCCCTGTACTGCCCACATGTTCTCAACTGCTCATACAGACCCTTTCTGGTCTAAATTCCAATTATGCATTACTCCCAAGGAATTATTTTCAACAAAGAACATTCCTGGGAATCCAAGTCCTAAGGAGCAGCCTACTCATGGTAAATGAAATGGGAATTTCAGAACCCTGAGGGATCTTTGCTATCTGGCTGTTTAGTCTTTCCTAAATGGTCAAACAAGGTGGTAATTTTTGTGCCTTTTGTTGTTTTTGACTAACTTGTACTCATTATATCATTTGTTGTCGCAAAACAGCATAAATTCCAGAAAACAAAGAAAACCTGACATTAACCAAAATATCAATTAGATGCACCCATAATCCCTTTCAATTATAATCTATACACAAAAATCATTATGGTTCTAGAAAAGAAAATTTCTGTATTTTTGTCCTGTTTTTCATTTCGTATCATGGCCAATTTCCTAATGTTTATAAAATCTTCACTTGTAACAAAGCACCATACAAAACAGATCCCAAACTATCTAATGGAGAACTTAAGTAGTAGAATGATACTCTGAAAAACTGTTTTCCAGCCTAAGTTTTACGAACTACGACACTTTTTCAATCTTCTCTACAACAAGCATTTGATTTACTCTATGAGGGGAGAAAGGTCTACCTAACTGGTTTTGTCTCTCAGATTCAGATCTGAGTGCTATCTGCAAGGAAAAGGGTCAGTATTTATTACATCTGTAGGATGTACATAAGGGCCAAGTCTGATGCTGCTCATGGAATTGCTAAGTTAAAATATGTAGTTCACAGCTTCCTCCCTTTCTTGAAAATGGAATTCCAGATATACAATAAAAGAGGGTTAACTAAAAGGTTTTCCACATGCATCATTTTACACTAGTCCTTCCCACCAAATGCACTTTCTTAAAATAAATTTTAAAAAACAAATGGAATAAATTTCCAAACTAGTTATATTCATAGGATTTCTCTTCATTATGAGTTGCCTGATGCCTAATAAGTTTAGAGCTATTAATGAAAGCTTTCCCACACTGATTACATGTAAATGGTTTCTCTCCAGTGTGAGTTCTTTGATGTACAATAAGTCGAGCACTCAAACTGAATGTTTTCCCACACTGATTACATTCATAGGGTTTCTCTCCAGTATGAGTTCTCTGGTGTTGAGTAAGACATGAACTCTGCCTGAAGGATTTCCCACACTGACTGCATTCATAGGGCTTTTCTCCAGTATGAGTTCTCTGATGCACAACAAGAACATAACTCTGGCTGAAGGATTTCCCACACTGGTTACATTCATAGGGTTTTTCCCCGGTATGAGTTCTCTGATGCATAATAAGGTGAGAACTGCGGTTAAAAGATTTTCCACATTCGTTACATTCATAGGGTTTCTCTCCAGTGTGAGTTCTTTGATGAGCCACTAGCTGAGAGCTCCAGCTGAAAGACTTTCCACACTGATTACATTCAAAAGGTTTTTCCCCTGTGTGAGTTCTCTGATGTGCAACAAGTTTATAACTTTGACTAAAGGATTTTCCACACTGATTGCATTCATAGGGTTTTTCTCCAGTGTGAATTCTTTGATGTGCAATAAGCTTATAACTCTGGATAAATGATTTCCCACATTGACTGCATTCATAGGGCTTCTCTCCAGTATGTGTTCTTTGATGTGCAATTAGTTTGTAGCTCTGCCTGAATGACTTTCCACATTGGTTGCACTCATAAGGCTTCTCTCCAGTATGAGTTCTCTGGTGTACCACAAGCACGTAGCTCTGGCTAAAGGATTTCCCACACTGATTACATCTATAAGGTTTCTCTCCTGTATGGGTTCTTTGATGGGAAACGAGGTGGGAGCTCCGGCTGAAGGATTTTCCACATTCATTACATTCATAAGGTTTCTCCCCTGTATGAGTTCTTTGATGTGCAACAAGATGTGAGCTCCAGCTAAAGGCTTTCCCACATTGATTACATTCAAAAGGTTTTTCTTCAGAATTATTTCTCATATTTTGAGCAAGGGATGAATTCTGAGAAGTTTTACTACATTTATACTGACTCTCTTCAACAGGAATTTTCTGCTGTTCATTAAAGGATATGTCATGGTTCAAAACTTGCCCACATTCCTTAAAATCAAAGGTCTTACCTTCTGCATAAATTTTTTCATGTATATTTAGGGATGCGCTGTGGCTAAAAGGTTGAATAGTGTCAATAAATTCATAGGACTTATCTCTTTTTTGAGTTCTTGTAAACTGAATAAGGTGGATGCTCTGAGGGAGTTTTCCACATTCATTATTTTCACGTAATTTCTCACTGTCATTAATCTTCTGATGACTGTTTACAACAGAATTATAATGAGATTTTTTAACATGTGACAAATGTTTATGAAAATGGTTTCTTATGGGTATCACTGGGAGTGAAAGAAAGCTGGGATTTATATCACTCTTCTCAAGTTCATCACTTTTGCAAACCTTCTCATGAATAGCTTTCTTTTGAGTGACTGCCATTTCCTGAAAAAGTCTCTCTTGCTTTTCCTGTTGCTTCTTCAACTGATCCTTATGATCATGAACTTCTTCACATGAAGATAGCCAAGGATCATCTCTTGTCAAGCTTTCTATCTTTACTCCAGGGGATGATTCCACATCAAAAATGATCTGTTTTGAAGTTGATTCTCTCCTTCCAAGTGCAGTTGCCAAGTCTGAAAGAAAGCAAAATAAGACATCCTAGACAAAAAATGTTAGAGCTCAAATACAGGAATAAAGCTGATAAGAAAAATATGAAAAAACTGGATTTGTTATCAGCTATGGACCTAAAACCTGGGTTGAAAAAGCAAAAGGATGGAAATAAGCAGTTAAGTACCAAATTCCCATAGTCCAATAGTAAAACAGGGCATTCAAATGAAACTATTTTTAGTTTTGTCTAGGTGAGCAAGACTTTGAATACCAAGTATCTGCCAATTCCAAAATAAGATTACCTATGCAGAACATACAGAATTCTCACCCAAGTCCCGTGTGGGCAATGGAATTTGGGTCTTCTCTGTGTGAGGTGGGTGGGCTATAAAATTGAACTAAGAAAAAGAAGCATTGAAGAAACCATACTACACAGGAAATAATTTTGGAAAGCAGTGGGGAGCGGGTCTCTACGACCTTAGAGGTCCAGTTTCCACACTGGGAAGAGAAAGAGAGAGCAGGAGCCTGTGTTTGCTTTATTATACATGAGGAAACTTCAAAGGTTATCCACTGAATGTTCTTCACCAAATAAGGCAGGAGGTAGGCTGTCCAGGCTCAATGGGTCACACCAAATTCCGAAGTACAAGAGCAGCCTTCCTAGCCCAGCAAAGACTGAAGTCATACGCATTGCATAATCCAATAAGTGAGAGGGGCCACAAAGTAGCTTGCAATGCCAGACCAAAATCTCCTTGGCTCAAGGCCAAGTGAAGATGCTAAATAGCTTAGGAGTGGCTTTCTACACAGAATCTCAGCCTCATCTTGCAATCCTTAGCAAAGAAACAGAAGGTCGTTCCCACACTCATTCGTTCCAGGCATATATTCACCAGAACAGGTTAGAAGCTACATTACTAGGAATTCCTGGAGGCGTGAAACCTGCTACCATAGTCTATATGTAAACTACATTTATGAACCCAGAAAAAGGAATGAGGCACTATTATCCCCGTTCCCTAAATATCTTATAATATGGCCCATGGATTCCTGTGATTCCAACCAAGAAAGGATGCTCAAAAACAGAGGCCTTGGTGGTTATTAGGTAATGCAATGAAAAGTACACCTAGAAAGAATGATCATATGTACAGTCCACTAGGAGAGTGGGGAAAATATGGCATCTCCTACAGGGATTTTTCAAACAAACCTTCTACACCTACAATGACCTCTACATGTTTGGATCTCAAATGGACATGTGCATCAGAAAGTTCTTTTTATATTCTTTTCCTCACTCCAACTAGGAGATTGTGTCTGGTTTGAAAAGCTGTTGAGGAAAGATATATGGGACTTTGGGTCTCCAGGCTTGGGACAAAAGAGAATCACTGAAGAATTTGGTCCCAGGCTTTGGACTTTAGGAATCACTAACTGAACAAGCTCAAGCCCAAGAAACTGTACCTTTTCTACCCTACAAACCAAATTTTATCTTCTTTAGAAATTAAGAGCACAAACACAACCTACGTGTGGACAAAAATCATTCTGGCTGCTGAAACCACAGCTCTTAACAGGGATGTGAAAACATTTAAAGAGACACAGCTTCATTAAGGAAGATGATACACTTACCCCAAGAGACCAGGTTCCTGTGGTTCTCCAGGATCACACTTCTGTCTGGGATCCTATAAGCAGGGTTCAAAGTACCCTGTTCCTCATGAGTAAAGTCCACAGTTACAATATTGAAGTTCACTTCTTCCTAAAACAGGACACACATTCCTGCTCAGCTGGGCATCATTTCCTTTCAATGTTCATGGAGAAGGAAATGTTTGACAGATGTTAGTAGGAAAATCTGATGACCTGGCAGTTGTCCTGAGATTGTCAGCGTCAAAGGATTATAGTCAAGGTGTATGGATGCCTTTGGGTTTTGGATGCTGGATCTGTTTTTACAACCCCAAAAACGAATTCCAGATAAGAACCAACAAAAATTATTTTCTCTTTCCACCTTATAAAACATTAATTCTCAATTCTGTATGGTGAATTCCTACTTATGAATCCCTTCCAAATCCTCAAAAAAAAAATGTTTTTTTCTGTCAAAGGCCAGATAGTAAACATTTTAGGCTATGGAAGTCACACAGGTTCTATCACAACTATTCAACCGAAAGCAATTACAAAAAATACACAAGTGAGTGTTAACTATCACAATAAAACTTTATTTACAAAATCAGGCAGTGGGCTAGATTTGCCCACAAGCTGGACTTTGCTAATGCCTGAGACAGAGAATGAAATATAAATCTTAATGAAAAGCAGTATGTACAGGTTTAATAACACTGAATTCAGAAGAAAAGAGGCTTAGGTTTTCTCATCTATAGAGTATAAATCTGAACTAGAATTCTGAATTCTTAGAAGTTTTACTAGGTATCAATATATACATATATATATATATATATATATATATATATATATATACAGAAACACACACATATGTATGTGAATACATACATATATACAGTTTTTGGTCATTTTGTAATCTTTTTTTTTTTTTTTTTTTTTTTGAGGTGGGGGTTTACCAGGGATTGAACACAGGGGTACTTAACCACTGGATCACATCCACAGCTCTTTTAATGTTTTATTTAGAGACAAAATCTCCCTAAGTTGCTTAGGGCCCCACTAAGTTGATAAGGCTGGCTCTGAACTCGCAATCCTCCTGCCTCAGCCTCCCAACACACTAGGATTACAGGCCTGCATCACTACACCCAGCCCTTCACAATCTCTTTTAATGGTGAATTTATTCCATCTCTATTAAGCATAATTATACCCAAACCATTGGTTTGCTGAAAGAATTAACTGTGATGCTATATGAAAAATCGTAAGCAAAATTTACTAAATAAACAGCAAAGGCTTGCAGTTTCTATTATGATTCTTCAGTCTGAGAACCCTGAAAGATTAAAAGACAGCCAATGTGACTTTTTATCATGAGACCTTAGTCTTCAGGTAACACTTCTATTTCTATGGGCAAGATTTTCAGTTAGGAGATGTCACTGTATTACTGTCATATAAATGGAGTCTCTTGGGCTGCCTCTTCTAAGCAAGAAAGAGCCTGTTTCCAAGACTACTGGGCAGAAATTTTGATCCAAAAAAAAAGTGCTGAGGGTGACCTGTCCTTACCCAAGGACATTTGACTAATCACTGTGTTCTTAAGCTGTGGTTCATGAATAAGATACATGATCCTGAATCCCATGAAACTATATGCAAAATGCTGCTGTATAAGCATTTTTCTAAGTCAGGGCCCAGTGTAGGTATTCTGACCATGGAATGTACAGGAAAGGGTTCCTCTGGTGAGCACCTCTGGGTGAGGGGGAGGACTGGCACTCTGTTTACCATGCGTGGAATGCCCCGCAGTTTCTCCTTGAAGCTAGTAAGATAACTATACAGGTGCAATTTCTAATTTCTATGGTAATATCCTTGGAGAAAAGGGCTCTGTGTTTTAATTAGCCTGGACTTTGACCTCAGTATTTAGTATTCCTTTAATCCAGCACCTGGGATTAAAGGAATACTAAATAATAATATAGTCATGGCACTAAGAGCTGGGTTACTTTTGATACAAATAAACGCAGCTGCTTGGAGGGGAGCCACTCTTTCTTTCCCTTTCCTGCCTCTGCGTCTTGTCTCTGTGTCTCCTTTGATTTTCCTTACAGGCCACAAATGTCAACAAAATTGATCTTTTAAATTCCTGTTTCACAATCAATATCAATCCATGCTTCCTTTTAATTAACATTCCCCTTTGCAGTTTAGCATATGTACCATTTGTATTAAGATTTTTCAAGGGGCTGGGGTTGTGGCTCAGTGGTAGCATGCTTGCCTTGCATGCAGGGGCACTGGATTCAATCCTCAGTACCACATAAATTAATAAAATAAAGGTACTGTGTCCATCTACAACTAAAAAAAAATTTTTTTTTAAAGATTTTTCAAGTATTAAATAAATAAAAGTAGACTGAATTAGTACCCCTCTTTCTACATACTAGCTATCCATTCTCAAAGGTCTATGGACTTCCACCATTAAGACCCACCACAATTTCTCATCATTTGCAAAACAGACATTTGTGTCACTAGGCCATGATCCATGAAGACAGGAAGAAGGTACTTACAGTTTGCAAATGTGATTTCAGTGATTAACAATAGTGTTAATGTACAGTAGATATTAAATATACTAAACCTAATGTACTAAGTTATTGCAATAAATGAATCAATGGTATAAAAGGTTTTCTAATATCTCTGAATAACTCTCACCCAAATTCTGATTTAAGTCCTCATTTCTCACCTGAATCACACAAGATGTATCACATACCCATCTGAACAAGTCCATCAATAGCGAATATGGCTTTTCTATACTTCCACTCCACCTAATTCTTTTGTGTGTGTGTGTGTGTGGGGGGGGGTGACTAAGGTTTGAATTCAGAGGCACTCAACCACTGAGCCATATCCCTGGCCTATTTTTTGTATTTTATTTAGAGATAAGGTCTCACTGAGTTGCTTAGCTGAGGCTTTTGCTCCTGCCTTGGCCTCCTAAGCTGCTGGGATTACAGGTGCACACCATCACACCTGGCTTCCACTTAATTGTTTCACCTACCCAAACTTCCTGCTCCTCAAAACTTCTCCAACTCTTCAACCGTGCCCTCAGAATTCTGTAACAATGAACTCCTGCAGCTGCAATCTCTTTACCAACCATTCCCCATCCATCCCCTCCTCCAGAGGCCTCAAAAACTAAGGATGGTTGTGGGAAGCCGTTCTCACACGTCACTGGGTACCTCCCTGACTGGGTGTGAGGCGCTCAGGCCAACTGTGTCAGAGCTTATCCCCACCCTTTTTAGGTTCGAGAGCCTGTCTATGTGGGGGTGTGACTGACCATTGACCCTAAAACCAATCACTGACCCTGACCTTGGAATGCTGTCCCCCTCGACCTTCACTGGATGGAATTTTCCCCTGAATTTTTTGTTTCCCAATAAAAGCCCAGTCTCTGGCGTGCTCCTTCCTCTCTCCTGCTGGTCTCTTGTGTAAACCTCACTACCGCCAGGTGGCTCGAGGCAGGAGCTGGGAAGGGCCGTCTCTTAGCTGGGCAAGAAAAAGGTAAATTGAGTTTATGTGTCTTTATCTTGATCTCACTAGTTAACTTCTATGTTTAGAACCTCTAGTATGAAGCTAGCGTGCTGGTCAAGCAGCAGAGATGGTCCTGCTCCCAGGAATGTAGGCACAAAGAGGAGGATGTGTCTTCCTGGTTACAGGGGAAATCATGCCATTTTCCTCACTCCCTGGAGCTCTGTCCTAGCAACCTTGTGAACCCCCCCAGATGTGGTGTCAGGTGGTGTCTTAACAGGTCACATTTAATTCTCACTAGGCTCCTGTGAGAAAATACCATTAGCAGCACCATTTTTCAAATGAAGATCAAGAAAGTTAAGAGACATGCATATTTGTGCCTAAGGTTGGTAGCTGGGATGCAACCTCAAGCTGGCATGACACAGGGACTGTCACATCAGTCATCAGTTCCTATGGTTAGCCCAGCTCTGTGATCCTGGAACTGCTTTTCAGCAGCTCACTCCTAAGCTGATACACCAGATCTGAGGATTTTCCAACAACACCTACTGCAGCCAGGCAATACAGCAGACTGCTCCTCTCTACCTGCTCCATTTCCCCTTTTACTCTTGTTATTTGATGATGTGGGACCAATTCCTCCACTGAAATGTCTGCTTTGGCAACCTGCCAGTCCTTATTCTGTTCCTCTCTACCCAGGGCCCTCTTTATCTTTTCCATCTTAATTATTCCCTTTGGAGTCATTTTAATCTTTCTCTTTGATATTTTTTTTAAATTCTCTTTCAAATGTTCCCTTGGCCTGTGGAGTTTTCACTAAAGAAAGGCCTTTTTTACCTCACCTGGGATGGGATGGCCAGTGACCCAGCATCTTCTCCCTCAACCTTGATGATAATCTCTTGAGGAAGGAGAGAGTCCTGAGAAGTCAAAAAAAAAAAAAAGAAAAAAAGAAAGAAAGAAAACAGAGAACTGAGTCACAGTTTAGAGCTCCCACTCTGAGTCACTAGGACTTGACATACCATGTATCTCAACAAGTCCCACCTACCAAAGTCTGCTCCCTCCCACAGGTACTCTCAAGCTCACCCTGTGGAGAGAAGGGATACCTGGAGGAACACTGAGACCCCAGTGAGCATGAGATCTCTGTGCATCTTCCAGGCTAGCCCTGCTGGCAGTTAAATGCAGAAGAGACCCCAGATACTACTCAGAACAAAAGCACTTCCAGCTGAGCCCTGCCTGAATTCCTGCATCACGAAATTATAAAGAAATAAAATGGACTACAGCATATATGTGTGTATATTTGTATGTGTATGTATGTATGTATGGTAGAAAATGGTAGCCTCATCAGGAAAATGGACAAATGAAAACATGCTTGCAATTCAACCAAGAAGAAATAAAATTATCTGGGGAAAAAATTACACACACACACACACACACGTATATTGCTTACATACACTTATACATTTTGTTTTATATATATGTATACACATATATTATACATATGCTTAACTATATCAATATCTTTAAATCTACTTGTAAGTATCCTTGGGAAACAACAGAAAGCATATTCAGATGCAGTGTGAGAATGCTCACTAAAGGGTTACATTATCATAGCAAAAATGGGAGAGGATTAAATATCCATTAGTAGATAGCTAGTAAATAAATTATGCTCATCTAGATAACCAAATGCTATTTAGCATCCAACTGGTTTACATGTAATAAATGATAGAAAGATGTCTACAGGACTGGGGATGTGGCTCAAGTGGTAGCGCGCTCGCCTGGCATGCACGGGGCGCTGGGTTCGATCCTCAGCACCACATAAAAAAATAAAATAAAGATGTTGTGTCCACCGAAAAACTGAAAAATAAATATTAAAGAATTCTCTCTTTTTAAAAAAAAGAGAAAGATGTCTATAATATAGCACTGAGTGAAAAGTTAACAATATATATAAGATAAATAGAATTTTATAAAATATAAATATGCTGCTCTTTGAATACATTGTTAACTTCAGTAGGTGCAGTAGATATTCAGAGGTGTGTTTAGATGTGGAGAAATCCTTTCCCGCCTTTATGCACATTATGCTAGCTACTTTCACTTCCTTCCCACTGCAATAGTGAAATTATTTCAGGGTAAATAATTTCATTATTGCAGTGAGGAAACTTTTTGAGCAATTATCAAAAAGAACATTCTTCAAAGCATTAAAATCAGCTATTTGGGCTAGAGTTGTAGCTCAGTGGTAGAACACTTGCCTAGCATGTGTGAGGCACTGGGTTCGATCCTCAACACCACATAAAAATAAATAACTAAATAAGTATTGTGTGCACCTACAACTAAATTTTTTTTAAAGCAGCTATTATTTGAAGGAGTCATACAGAGGGGGGCCACTGTGCATTTCAAACTGTATCAATGTTTTTTCAAAAGCATTTATTCTTTCATTAAATACCCAGAAAACAGCAAAAGTGTTTCTCTCTTGAAAAAAATCACCTTGAAACAAGATCATTCTTTGTAGCTTCCTCAAGTTTCTCTCTATAGGGTGCAATAACTGGACCTGTCAAGTGGCAGTCCATTCATGTATACTTTCTCCTCAAATCTTCTGACACTGGAAGCAAGTGCTATTGATTCTTGAATCAGAAACTAAAAGGAAACAAACTTGTATTTTTCCCAGAGGTGTGCCGGTTATTTCCCCTTGTGTTAATCAGCTTTTCAGTACCTGGTGACCAAAGTATCTGAGAAGAAAAGCTTAAAGGAGGAAGCGTTTGTGGGCCCTTGGTCCAGAGGTTCAGTCAATGGTCAACTGGTTCCACTGCTCTGGGCCTGAGGCGCAGCATCGTGGAGGAAGCAGGGAATGGAGGAGCACTGCTCACCTCATGACAGCCAGGAAGCAGAGGGCAAGCAGCCACAGAAAAGATGCATCTCTCAGGGCAAACCACCCCAGTGACCCACCTCCTCCAACCATGCCCCACCTGCCCAGTTACCACCCAGTCAGCCCATTCAAACTGATTAGGTTACAGCTCCCATAATCTGATCATTTCACTGTTGAATATTCCTGTATTCGCACAGGAGTTTGGGGGGATAACACCTTATACCCAACCATAACGCCCTAACCATCTAGAAATAGTTTCACTAATACAGTGGGGAGGATTACGTAAAATGGCTAGTATTAGTGCGTAGAGGCAGGAAAGGATTTCTCCAAATCTAAACACGCCCCTGTCTATTTCCTGGGCAGGTCCTGAGGTTAACTATGAGTATTCAAAGAGCAGGAGCTGCTGCAATAGGAAGAAGGCCCAGTGCCAAGAGCGCTGAGCCAGCCACTTACACCACCACAGCACAAGCCGACAGAGAGGCTGAACTGCTTCAAGTTGTTACATGGCCATTACGAAATGGCTTAAAACACCAAAGAGCAAAACTGAACACAATTCACAATGCCAAAACCACAACAAAGCCACAGATGATCTAAGAGAGCCACAGGCTTTGACCCCAAACTGCTATTGGAACTGCCCTATCCATCATGGAAACGGCCTCCATGAAAATCAACATTTCTAAAGTGCGACAACAAACATGTCTTTTCTTGCTACCGAAGTGGCTGAAGTTGAATTCTAACAATTTTGTGGCCACATGTTAATTAACTCTACCTGGGAAATGAGAAAAGTTACTCAAGAAAAGAAAAATTATAAACACTAGCTTGTATTTTAAATTATTACACACTCTTTCAGTTAGTTGTGTGTGTGTGTGTGTGTGTGTGTGTGTGTAGGAACAGCTAAGATCAGTTCAGAAACATAACTGAGAAACAATGTTTCCTGCTCAGCAGGTACTCAGCAGGAACAAAGACCCTTTGCATCACACATATTCTTCCAGTTATTTTTACCCAATTCTTCCTCTAGTTTCTGAGAGCTGAGATCTTCTCTGTCCTGTTTATCCTGGTTTCATGTGTTTTAATTAATAGTAGATGCAAAGGAGCTGGGTGCAAATGTGTTGGCTATAGAATGAGTATACAAGAAAGAACATGAAATGCTACCTGAGCCTTCACATTTGTCCCCATGGTCCCTGAAGTTACCAGCTTACTGCTAAGCTCAAGTCCCTCCTCTGAGTAGAGGAAACCTCTGTTGGTGCCTTTCTCCCCAGAAAATTCAATGCATCAGCTTCCAGAACCTCCTCACAACCAACTCAATGCTCAAAGCCAGCTTGTCACATAAGTGTGTGCGCACACACACACACACTCACCAACCTTTCCCTTAGGTTCTGACACACTTTGAATTACTGGGTGTTTTAGGAATGCCTCCTGTATTTACATCCCAGTTTCCACAAAATCATCCAAACTTTTCTGAAGGAGTGGTGTGTCTATTTTTCCCGTGCAAAAATTAATGGTAAAAGAGTTTAGCAAACTCATTTAGGTCCACTGATGGTGTGATACAAACCCCTCCCCTTTCCACTGCCCCACTTCAAAGTCTAACTTCACTGAAAACCCAGATCAAACACCACCTCCTCCATGAAGTGTTCCCAGATTGCACTCAGCTCTTCTGCCCTTCATGTTTTCCTGTTTTGATTGGACCCTTTCTGAACCAGTAAAGTTGTCCTCTGGTATTATTTCCATATCTCTATACCTCTCCCTGGGGTTGTGAATTTAATACTAAGAACTGTATATTTTTGAAGAGCACAAAAAAGTTCTCTGAATTCTTGATAGGATTAGAGACTAACGCAGGTTTGGAGATGTATAAACAGAATGAGAAGCCTTTAGCCCACTTTCTGTGTCTCTAGAGTATTTAAAAATGATCCTCTCTGTTCAACAATCACCTCTTTCTGTCATAAAAGGGCACTTTTTCTTTGCATAGTTTACAGAATGGGAACAGCAATGAGACTAATGACTGCAGCACGGGCTGCAGTCCCCGGCCAGCACGGGCTACTGAACCGAGGTCACTCAGGTAAATTTGGAGTGACACAAAATGACCACTCAGATATGGAATACCTTTTTCTGGGCATCAGGGTGGCTTCCCCAGCTCCCGGCCTCAAGTTCCCAAAAAGGGGGGCAAGAGAAAAATGAGAAAACCAGCAAAAGGAGGATCTACACTAAAGGGACATTCTAAGCAAATAAGAAACCAAGACAAATCAAAAACCAGAAATAAATCAAAATGACAGGGAATACAAATCATATCTCAATAATAACCTTGTTAACAGTCTAAACTCATCAATCAAAAGATACAGACTGGCAGACTAAATTAAAAAGCAAGACCCAACAATATGCTGTCTTCAAAAGACTCACCTCATGGCAAAGACATTCACAGGCTGAAGGTGAAAGGATGGGAAAAAACTTATCATGCATATGGATTACATAAACAAGAAGGGGTTTCCATTCTCATGTCAGATAAAGAAGACTTCAAACCAAAGTTAATCAGAAGAGACAGAGAAGGACATTTCATACTTCTAAGGGAAGTATATATAAGCAGTGTGTGTATACACACACACACACACACACATATATATATATACACATATATATATAATTGTTACGTAACAATTATAAATATTTATGCCCCAAACAATGGAGCATCTATGTACATCAAACAAACCCTTCTCAATGTCAAGAGTCAAACAGACCACAGTACAATAATACTGGGTGACTTTAACACACCTCTCACACTACTGGACAGATCTTCCAAACAAAAACTAAATAAGGAAACTACAAGATTAAATAATACGATCAATAATTTATACTTAACAGACATACATAGAATACTTCATCCATCAACAAGCAAATATACTTTCTTCTCAGCAGTACATGGCTCCTTTTCTAAAATAGACCATATCTTATGCCACAAAGCAAATTAGTAAATACAAAAAAACAGAGATAATACCCTGCATTCTATCAGACCATAATGGAATGAAATAATTAGAAATCAATGATAAAATAAAAAACAGGAGCTACTAAAACAAATGGAGACTAAATAATATACAACTGAATGATGAATGGATAGTAGAAGAAATCAAGGATGAAGAAAAAAATTCTTAGAGGTAAATGAGAACACTGATACAACATATCAAAATCTCTGGGACACTATGAAGGCAGTACTAAGAGGAAAGATTATTACTTTGAGTGCATTCATTAAAGGAATAAAAAGTCAACAAATAAATCACCTAACACTACATCTCAAAGCCCTAGAAAAAGAAGAACAAATCAACACCAAAAGCAGTAGAAGATAAGAAATAATTAAAATCAGGGCTGAAATTAATGAATCAAAACAAAAGAAATAACTGAAAAAATTGACAAAACAAAAAGTTGGTTCTTTGAAAAAATAAATAGATAAACCCCTGGCCATGCTAGTGAAGAGAAAAAGAGAAAAAACTCAAATTACTAAAATATAAGATGAAGAAGGAAATATCACAACGAAGACGTCTGAAATACAGAAGATAATTAGAAACCATTTTGAAAATTTATAGTCTAATAAAATAAAAAATATCAAAGACATCGACAAATTTCTAGATACATATCACCTACCCAAACTGAATGAGGAGGTCATACATGATTCAAACAAACCAATTTCAAGTAATGAAACAGAAAACACCATCTAAAGCCTACCAACCAAGAAAAGCCCAGGACCAGATGGATTATCAGCCAAGTTTACAAGACTTTCAAAGAAGAATTAACACCAATACTCCTCAAAGTATTCCATGAAATAGAAAAGGAGAGAACCTTTCTAAACTCATTGTATGAGGCTAGTATCACCCTGATGCCAAAGCCAGACAAAGACACACAAAAGAAAGAAAACTTCAGACCAATATCCCTGATGAACATAGATGCAAAAATTCTCAATAAAATTCTGGCAAATTGTATACAAAAACATATTAAAAAGAAAGTGCACCACAATCAAGTAGGATTCATCCCAGGAATGAAGGGTTGGTTCAATGTACAGAAATCAATAAACATAATTCATCATATTAATAGACTTAAAACAAGAATCATATGATCATCTCAATAGATGGAGAAAAAGCATTTGACAAAATACAGCGCACCTTCATGTTCAAAACACTAGAAAAACTAAGGATAGCAGGAACATACCTCAACATTGTAAAAACTATCTATGCTAAACCCAAGGCCAGAATCATTCTAAATGAGAAAAATTGAAAGTATTCCCGCTAAAAACTGGAACAAGACAGGATGTCCTCTTTCACCACTTCTATTTAACATCATCCTTGAAACTTTAGCCAGAGCATTAGACAACAGAAAGAAATTAAAGGGATACAAATAGGTAAAGAAGAACTCAAACTATCATTATTTGCTGATGACATGTTTCTATATCTAGAAGATCCAAAAAATTCCACCAGAAAACTTCTAGAACTAATAAATGAATTCAGCAAAGTAGCAGGATATAAAATCAACACCAATAAATCAAATGCCTTCCTATACATCAGCGATAAATCCACTGAAAGAGAAATTAGGAAAACTACTCCATTCACAGTAGCCTCAAAAAAAAAAAAAAAACCTGGGAATCAATCTAACAAAAGAAGTGAAAGACCTCTACAATGAAAACTACAGAACACTAAAGAAAGAAATTGAAGAGAACCTCAGAAAATGGAAAGATTTCCCATGCTCCTGGATAGGCAGAATTAATACTGTCAAAATAGCCATACTACCACAGCTTTATACAGATTTATGGCAATTCCTATTAAAATCCCAATGACATTCTCCATAGAAATAGAAAAAGCAATCATGAAATTTATTTGGAAAAATAAAAGAACCAGAATAGCTAAAGCAATTCTTAGCAAGAAAAGTGAAGCAGGAGGCATCACAATACTAGACCTTAAACTATACTACAGAGCTACATAGTAACAAAAGTGGCATGGTATTGGCACCAAAATAGACTTGTAGACCAATGGTACAGAATAGAGGACACAGAGATAAACCCACATAAATATGGTTCTTTCATACTAGACAAGGATGCTAAAAAACATTCACTGGAGAAAAGATAGCCTATTCAACAAATGGTGCTAGCAAAACTGGAAATCAATATGTAGCAAAATGAAATTAAACCTCTATCTCTCTGCACAAAAATCAACTCAAAGTGGATCAAAGACTCAGGCACTAGAACAGAGACCTTGTGCCTAACAGAAGGAAAAATAGGCCCAAATATTCACCATGTCGGCCTAGAATCTGACTTCCTTAACAAGACTCCTAAAGCGCAAGAAATAAAATCAAGAATCAATAAATGGAAAGGATTCAAATCAAAAAGCTTCTTCTCAGCAAAAGAAACAATTACTAACATGAGGAGAAAGCCTACAGATTGGGAAAAAATCTTTACCACATATACCTCTGAGAAAGCATTAATCTCTAGGATATATAAAGAACTCAAAAAACTTAACACCAAAAAAACAAATAACCCAATCAATAAATGGGCTAAGGAACTGAACAGACACTTCACAGAAGAAGAAATACAACTGATCAACAAATATATGAAAAAGTGTTCAACATCTCAAGCAATTAAAAAAATGCAAATCAAAACTACTCTACACCTCACTCCTGTCAGAATGGCAATCATGAAGAATACAGGTAACAATAAATGTTGGCGAGGATGTGGTGAAAAGGGCACACTCATACACTACTGGTGGGACTGCAAATTGGTGCAACCACTATGGAAAGCAGTATGGAGATTCCTCAGAAAACTGGGAATGGGACCACCATTTAACCCAGCTATCCCACTCCTTGGCTTATACCCAAAGGACTTAAAATCAGCATTCTATAGTGACACAGACACATCAATGTTTATAGCAGCTCGATTCACAATAGCTAGACTATGGAATCTACCTAGGTGTCCCTCAAGAGATGAATGGATAAAGAAAATGTGGTATATATACTCAATGGAATATTACTCAGCTTTAAAGCCGAGTGAAATTATGGCATTTGCCAGTATATTGTTGGAGTTGGAGAATATTGTGCTAAGCGAAATAAGCCAATCCCACAAAACCAAAGGCCAAATGTGGATAATATGTGGATGCTAATTCACAATAAGGCAGGGGGCACTAGGTAGAGGGAAGAGATAGGAGGGGAAGGGAGGGGATGTGGGGATAGGAAAAATAGTAGAATGAAACAGACATTACTACTGTACGTATATATGTGACTACATGACCAATGATTCTGCAACATGTACACTCAGAAAAACGAGAAATTATATCCCATCTATGTATATCAAAGTGCATAAATAAACACATTCTACTGTCATGTAACTAATTAAAACAAATTTAAATCTTTTTTTAAAAAAAAAAGCTTCCTGGCCACCAAAGCCCCTAAAATGCTACAAGGAGTACCCAGAGGGTGAGCCTGTGGGGCCCGAGGAGGAGCAAGCTCTGGAGCTCTTGGGGGAACAGTGGCTCCACTCACCTGTGTGCAGGCCTTAAGGGGTCCTGGGGGCTTCTCATCCTGCCCTTCCATACTGTCCTCCAGGCACAGCCGGGTACTGAACTGCATTGAGAGGACAAGGCCTGAGTACAGCATCATACAGCGTGCCCATGCACATCTGCTGGCATTGCTGTCCCCAACACCAACCTGGCCCCTGGATTAGCCACCAATCCCTGGATGCATTCCCCGTGTCAAATGTGCTCCTAGAGGTTTCCTCCCAAGAGTCCCTCAGTCCTCCTGCAGGCCAAGCCTCTGCAGCTCCAACCCAGCTCCTCCACTACCACCTCCTGTAAGCCCACCTCATACCCAAACAGGTTTTCTACCTACCACCAAAATCTGCATCATAGATCAGTTCCTCCCCTGTTCCACTGGGTTCTGGAAACACCTACCACTTGGAGAACCCCCAAGTACATACCCTTCTGCCCTCCAGACCTGAATCTGCAATCTCAAACCAGGTCCTCTGTCTTGGACCAGCCGCAGGGCTCTGGCTCTCCTGTCCTAGAATCACACCCACTGACTAGATGCATGAAGTTCGTGACACAGCGCCACCACTCCCAGGAATTGATTCAGTAACAAACACCCAGCCTACCCTTCCAGCAGCCTGGCCTGGCCCTCCAGCAACTCTTTGAAGATGGCCTCCCTTTTCTGCTCAAATGTCAAAGCGTATGTTCAGAGTCCAAACTGCAGCCAGGTCAGGGTCCCACCATTGTCTACCAGAGCATCCATTACACAGATGCTCACCCAACACCCTGTTGGGCTCTGAATTTGTAGTTCTGACCTGGTTCCTCTGCCAACTTGGGTGTTCTTGGGCCTGAAACTGCAACTGAGTCTGCTTAGGACTGGGAACCTCTGGCAGACGCCAGCACATGCCAGTCAAGGGCTGCACTTCCCAGACCCAGAAAGTGCACCTCAGTAACTCAGTTGTCTTTGTATCAATCATATGTCTTTGCATCTGAGACTAGAGAGCCCCTGGCAAATCCCACATAATGTACCCCATCCCCCCGTGCTCCGTCTCTCCTTACACACCACTTCACCTCTCCAGATTATCACTCAAGGCCTCCACCCCAGCAGCCACTGCACAGAGGCCACCCCTAGGCTCCTTGCTTCCATGGCACACCCACACATTTACAGAGCAGGTTCTCACCCAGACCCAGGCCCTTTGCCAGTGTGGGGCCTTGTGGAGTCCATGCTCCTGAGCTGAGAACGTGCATCCTTCACTCTACATCTCAAAGTACCTGGGATACCTCAGACACTCACCAGCCTCCCCCCAGGTCCTGGGGTCACCTGCCCCACTGCCTGGCTGCAGTCAAAACACTAGAACATCTAAGCAGTAGCTTGAGCACTGCTCCAGAATCAGTCCCAGGACTTGGGCACTTGCCACCTGGGGGTTCTCAAGCCCAATTAGAGATGTTCTTATGGAAACCGGATCCTTTCATCTCCTCCTGCCCAAACATGACAGCCTGATTGTCATGCAGTCAGTCCCTTCCAGACCCATGTCTGCAGACTAGACTCTGTCCCTCTACCAACGTAAGCATTCTCATGCTTGCAAGCAGAGTGGCCCAAGCAAAGGTCCTGGCAACACCGACTTCATATTGATGCTAGTAGCATCCTGCTTCCCCCCACACACAGCTGTCCATCTGATGGCAGCTGCTGCAGCTCAGTCCTTCCTGGGCTGATTTTGTACCGACAACCCAGCATCTCCAAGAACTTGAATGTCCTAGAATTCTGCTCTATCCTACACGGGTCCAGGATCATCAGTCCAATTCCTGCTTCCCATTAGATACCCCCAGTGTGTGCAGGAACATTCTGTCCAAAGCCTGCCCCTGGTATCCTCAACCTGGAACTCTGCTGCCTATTAGAGCTCCTTGAACAACGTTGCTTCTCCTGGGGAAGAACCCGCAACTCCAACAAGGTCTCTCCACCAAGCACGGGTGTCCCCAAGCCTGCGAGAACAGTGTCTGCCCAGGGTCCCAGAGCTACCTGCCCAGAATCCCCTGCTCAGGGGTGTAAGGACAGTGGCACAGCCCCTCCCTCCAGGAACCAGAATCTGCGATTCAGTACTTCATCAACCTGGGCACCGGGAAGCCAGCCACTAAACAGGCATAGCATTGGATGGCTGGATTTTTCAAGACCTCCCCCGTATCCCTGCCCGGTCCTCACACACCTGGGAATCCACCTAACCCAAATAAAAACCCCGCCTGATTAATCCGCGCATGCGCGCTGAATCCAGTCGCATCAGCCTCAAAGTCTCTATCAACCTCCGCGACCGAGGCTAAACCACCACCCACTAGGAGGCCGGAACGCCCACCCCCACTCATCACTTCTTCCAGTTTCCCGCCGAAGCCCTGCGCATGCGCGTATCAGACAAGCACTGCCCCGCCCCCGCCCCACCGACCTGAGGTCCGGGCCCGCTGCTCAGGTCCGGCCAGTCTCCGCCTCAGTGCCCCGCACGGCTCTGTGACTGGACGCTCTCGGGTTAAGCAGCCCCCTGCCTCGGTTCTTTGTCACGTCTGAGACGGGTTGAACTAATCTGGCCCCTCCCCTAGTCAGCATCCACAAGGCCGTTCCGAGTTAGCTCCTAAGGGCTGTACTGCGGGGCCTTAAACAGGGGTCCGCGCGCAGGACAATGGCTGCGCTCTGGCCGAACCCGGAAGTGCACCGCGGCGGAGAGCGGGAACTACAAGTCCCAGAAGCCTCAGCGGCGGGCGGGCGGGGCTCCCGCTCCTCTGAAGGCGGGCGGGGCCTGGCGGAACCGGGGCGCGGCGCAGGGGTTCAGGGTTTGCGCCAACCGCAACATTTGCGGGGCTCGGAGAGGACCGGACCCGGAGGCCGAGCCGGGGCAGTGGCGTGCGGTTAGTGGCCGACTGGCCGGGCTTAAACGCTTGGCGGAGTCGCCCATCCGATGGCATCAGCCGGGACCCTGCTGGGCCCCTGCTGGGAGGCTTACGACGGCCCGTGTTACCGTCGAGGACCCTTCAAGAATGTGATGTTTTTGTACTTCGTAAAATAAAAATCCTTTTATTGTATTTTAAATTGAGGTCTTTCTCTAGCTGTAGACCCTAAGGATTTATTTCCCCTTTCCTCTCCCCCCACCCCTACTTTCCTCTATTCCTCGGCTCCAGTCTGTTTTCCAAGCCGCTTTCTTCTCCAATAAGCTTAAGAAGACTCCCACCACAGGGCCCTTGCACAGGTTGCTGCTGCCCGACAGGCAGTTTCTCTCGGAGATCACGTGGTTCTGACCCTGGTGTTCAGGTGCTAGTCTTTCTCTTAGGAGACATTGCCTGACCCCCGCTATAAATTTTCAATCAAATCTTTCAGGTCCCTCACGCTCCTGCTTTCTCCCTCATCTTTATTATTATTCTTTTTCTCTAGAGAACTTTTCACTATCCAACACTACATTTCAGGAATTTATTTGGTTTTTTGTTTATCTGTCTGGAATGTCAATTTTATAAAGAAAAAGATTTGGATCTGGGCTGGAGTCAGTGGTAGAGTGTTTGCAAAGTAAATAAATAAAATGAAATTCTGGGGAAAAAAAATTTGGGTCTATGTCATTGCTCTATTCCCAGCAATTAAAAACCAAAAACAACAACAAAAGGTACCTGGCATGTAACGGATGATCATTAAACATTTGTGGAGTGAATGAGGGTCCCTGGCTCTGTGTTGCACACTGTAACATCTCACCAACCTCCTTACCCTATGGGTCACTGTGGTGCTCACTTCCAGCCCACCGGGGAGAAAGGTGAAAACTGGACCCCTCCTGTATAAAAACATGCTATTTTGTTTTGTTTTTAAAATGCTTTTCAAAGCATTCCTGTATTTTACTTCGCCTAAATTCTGACATTTAACAACAAAAAATTATGGCTATTTTAAATGTATTCTTTTATACGTAGAGCTTCTTATTGGTCATTGTGGTTGATTATTTAAAAATACATATACACATATATATTTGTTTTGTGTCTGGTTAACCTGTTAGAATTTTTTTACTTTTTTTTTTTTTTTTACTTTTTAGTTGTAGATGGGCATAATACCTTTATTTTATTTTATTTGATTTTTATGTGGTGCTGAGGATCAAACCAGTGCCTCACATGTTCCCGGCACATGCTCTGCTACTACGTCACAACCCCCGGCTCCTGGCATGTTTTAATTCTTATGGAATTCCAGTTGATTCTCTTGGTTTTTCAAGTGAAATAAGCAACAGCAGGCAATAAGTCTATCTTTTCCTGAGCAGTATTTTTACCTGGATATTCTCTTTCTTGTTGGATGGTGCTGGCTACTGTTTTCAGATGTGTTCTCCTTTTAACAGGCGTGTTGCTAATGTTGGCCGCTAAATGTGATGTTGGTTCTTGCCTTGAAGTAAGTCACTTACCGGGTTAGCGTCCCATCATTTGAACAAACACCTGAGATTTATAAAGAGAAGAGGGTTGTTTGGGGATCGCAGCTTTAGCGGGTTCATCCATATCAATTGGCTTCTTTGCTTTGGGGGCCCGTGGCAAAGCCCCACAACCTGGCAGGAGCACGTAAGAGTAAAACTGGTCACCTCATAGCCCAGGAGCAAAAGAGAAAAGGAGGAAAGGGCTAGATCCCACGATCCCCCCGACGGCTCACTCCCAATGACATACAGAAGACCTCCAGTAGGGCCAGGCACCATGGCTCACGCCTGTGATCCCAGCTGCTCTGGAGGCCGAGGCAGAAGGAATCGCTTGTTTGAAACAGCCTCCGCCACTTAGCCTGACCCTGTCTCAAAATAAAAAATAAAAAGGGCTGGGGATGTGGCTTGGTGGCAGAGCACCCCTGGGTTGCACTGTCAGTATCAAAAAAACCACCACCTCCCACCGGACACCCCTGGAACACTCCACCCCTCCACTGCCACTCGGGGGACCGAGCCTTTAACCTTCCAGGGATACTTAAGACCCAAACAACAGCACTTGTTTTTTAACTTTTTTATCTTGCAGATTTCAAAATAAAACTATAGAGATGAGTCTAACAAACCCCACAGCCTGTCATCCAGCTTAAATAATTTGCCACTCAATCTCGCGTCCTCTGTGCCCCACCTGGGCTGTGGTCTCCATGTTATGAGGCGACGGCTCCCAAAACACACTAAGCCCGAATTTGGAACGAAACAAAGAATTTTATTTTACCTATATTTTCCTGGCCAGGGACGCTTCTGCCAGGCCCAAAAGGCCTCTGATAGACGCGCACCAGGCTGTCTGTGGTTCCAGTCTTTAGGGAAGAAGACCACATCCTGAGGAACCTGTGAATTGCAAGCAACAGGGTCCAGGGGCCAAGAAAAGCAGTGAGCAGAGCAGTCAGACAGCCTCGTCCCGGGTTCGAGCGCAGCTGTGGGCCACATCCTGGGTTCAAGTCCATTACAGATGCATGAGGCACAGAAAAACAAATTTTAAATACTTTTTTTAAAAAACAGCTTATATAAGAGTTTCACATGGGAACCATGAAGATGGAGGAGCAGCCATGGTGATAGCTATACTCACTATTTATCTATATTCTTAATCTATATCCTATAATTTATTACTTGTATTGATTAATTCAGACCATAACCTCCTCTCTCCTCATCCCACAGTAATTTTGAAGCAAACCCTAGATCATCATTTCATTTTGGCCCTCAATATTCAGTATCTGTCTAAAGAGAGTTGTTGATGTTTTTAACAAAACTTCAATACAAAATAGATATATGTGATAACCATTGGGTACAGCGGATAGCAAATGCTAGTACCCAAAGACCCAAGAGAATTAACTAAAAGAAACATCAAGAAAAGTTTAGATGTTGGCAAGGATGTGGGAGAAAAGGTATACCCATACATTTCTGGCAAATTGGTACAACCATTATGGAAAGCAGTATGGAGATTCTTCAGAAAACTTGGAATAGAACCACCATTTGACCCAGCTAGCCCACTCCTCCATTTATACCCAAGAACTTAACATCAGCATACTACAGTGATGCAGCCACATCAATGTTTATAGCAGCTCAATTCACAATACCTAAGTTATGGAACCAACATAGGTGCCCTTCAACCGATAAATGGATAAAGAAAATGTGGTATATATACACAATGGAATATTACTGAGCCATAAAGAAGAATAAAATGATGGCATTTGCTGGTAAATGGATGGAAATGGACAATATCATGCTAAGTGAAATAAGCCAATCCCAAAAGACCAAGTCCAAATGTTCTTTCTGATACGCGGATGCTAACACACAATAATGTCGAGGGGGTAATAAAAGGCCATTGGATTAGACAAAGGGGAATGAAGAGAAGGGAGGGGGATGGGAAAGGGAAGACAGTGGAATGAATCAGACATCACTTCCCTATGTTCATACACAACCAGTGTGACTCCACATCATGTCCAACCACAAGAATGGAAGTTATACTCCTTGTATGTCCAGTGTGTAAAAATATACTCTACTGTCGGGTATATCTAAACATATTAAAGAACAAATAAAAATAAATAAAACATATTAAAGAATAAATAAAAATAAGTAAAAGAAAAGATGAAAAAAGAGTTTAGAAAACCATTGAATATGAAACAAACAGTTATGTGCCAGGCACTGTTTCAAGCAAGGTGTGTACATATCTACCTGTCTAGATACACATTAGTCTTACAAGATGGAACCATTATTTATATTTTACAGAATATGAAACAAGCCCAGGGACATTAAGCAACTCACCCTCAATTGTCTTGTTGGGGTAGAGCTCAAATCAGGAAATCTGATTCTAGAGTCCAAACTCGACTTTTACAATATATCACCCATTGTCTCCCCATCGAGATCTTTCTTCTATATAAGCAACACCAAGTTCGCAAACAAGATACAAAAAGGTTTGTGTTTATTCATCATAGGAAAAAAAAAAAAACGCCTGCAAATAAATTCAGGAAGATAAATACAAGATATAAGAAGAAACTCTCCAAGTCTGACGGAGAGAGTTAAGACACAGACAGACATGCTGTGTCGCTGGCTGTGGGAAAGGAAGCTAATCTCCCAGACGGAGCCACCAGTCCAAAGAGGACAGAATCATAACAGGATGCTTTGTTAGCTCATCTTCCTTTTTTTCTTTTCAGTTATTTTTCTTGCCAATGTTTCCACTTAAGATAATAAACCATTAGTAATGTTTAATTTAAAACCGACTTTGTCTTTTGTTTGGTCTCTTTATTTTTCTCCCTTTCACAAAGTGATAATGTTTACTTCCAGGAATCCAAATCCTGGCTTCACCTGAATGTTACAGGAGGATCATGAACCCATTCTAAACAAATGCCCGTCTGCCCCAAAGATTTCCCTATTGGCTCTTTGGAGATTGGCTGAGACCCAAATTTCATACTGAGGTGTTGAGGCCAGGATTTGGGTGAGAGTTAACATTCACTGAAGAGCAAGAAGGGCATGAACCCATGTGCTAGAAAGACAAAGTGAAGAGTTGCGCGAGGATACAGGGAAAATGTGATCTGTCCGCTGGATATCGGGGGAGGAATTCCCAGGGTTTCAGCATTTAAGATTGTAACACTGGCCAGGAGCAGTGGTGCACACCTATAATCCCAGCTACTAGGGAGGCTGAGGCAGGAGGATCACAAGTTCAAGGCCAGCCTCCACATTTTTTTTTTCAGGCGAGGAAGGTTATTGGGGATTGACCTCAGGGGCACTCAACCACTGAGCCACATCCTCAGCCCAATTTTGTATTTTATTTAGACACAGAGTTTCACTGAGTTGCTCAGTACCTTGCTTTTGCTGAGGCTAGCTTTGAACCCTTGATCCTCCTGCCTCTGCCTCCCGAGTCACTGGGATTACAGGCATGTGCCACTGTGCCCAGCTCAGCCTACACAATTTAGGAAGACTCTGTCTCAAAAATTTTAAAAGGGTCAGGGAGAGCTGGGATTGTGGCTCAGTGGCACAGCGCTCATCTAGCATGTGTGAGGCCCTGGGTTCGATCCTCAGCACCACATAAAATAAATAAATAAAATAAAGGTATTGTGTCCAACTACAACTAAAAAATAAATGTCTTTTTTTTAAAAAAAAAAAAAAAAGGGTCAGGATATAGTTCAATAGTAGAGCACCCCTGGGTTCAGTTCCTAGTACCTAAATAAAAAATTAAGATCTTGACACTGATGTTCCGAATCACATCTAATAATGAGGTTTTTAATCTGAATTAATATTATTATTAAAGTCTTACAGCTCCAAAGATTAACAACCCACTCAGGGAACGCCTTCTTAATTTCCAAGACTTCACATTCTTGGTTTTCTTCCTCCCCAGTCCTTTAGCTGATCTCTCCTACAGCCTTGAATGGACCTCGACTCAGCCGCCAGCCGATCCTCTTGTCTTCCTCCCGTCTCTCTGGCGTAATGTACCAGGCCTGCGCATTCCCAAGGAAGGCCGTGTTCACCATCAGCCTGTGGCCGGCTCCTGAGCACTGGCCCTGCCGGGTTCTACCTGGTCAGGGTGTCTTGCCTGCTGAGCCCTGGAGCTCCGCCTTGCAGGTCTGTCAAGGGACTGCATGTGAAGACTGTGATGGCCAGTCACCCAGGCACAGGTGCTGATGGGACTTGGCCCAGGTTTGGGTGAGCCTCCCTGGTGGCCAACGCTTACCACATGTTGTCACACATCTTGCTGGGCATTCCCACGTGACTCCAGTGACCACAAACACTTGGAAATCTGTGCACGGGGTCCTCTGTGCCTTTCCCCTTTGCTGATTTCTCTCTCTATCCTTTTTCTGTAAAAGCTGCAACCAGGGGCATAAGAACTGGGTCCTCTGAATCCCTTTAGGTGTTTTTAGGGACCCCATAAGTTTAGATCCTACTGACAACTCTCGATGTGTGTCTCCAGCCCTGATCGCCCCAGACTTTCAGGAACCATCGCCTATTTGATTCCCTGATTCTCAATTTAGCTGATCCAAGCTTTCTCTTCCCTCCCTGTCCCACATTGACCCTCCCCAGTGACCTGCCCGTCACGCAGTTGCTCTGGCAACAAAGTTCAGAATTCTCCTCCCCTCCTCACTCGTCTCCCCCTCACCCTCTCCGTCCCTGCACCCCTAAGAAATCTCAGAATCTCCTGCCTCCCCTCCCCCTCCCCCAGGAGCCTCAATCCCTTGTTTCACTCCACGTTTTCTTCCCGTCATTTCCTAAGAGCTCCTTGTCCTGATCCTCTATAATGATTCGAAAGGCCACCGCCTGTCCAGCCCTTGCAGATGTCCCCTCACATCCCTGGCTGCCGTGGGCTCATGCTGCTCCCCTGCTGCTGGGTTCACCAACAGCGTTGGCTCAGCCTCAAGAGCCAACCGTGGTACCCGCAGCTGCTGAGCCTCGAGCCCGGCCCTCCACTTCCAGTTCCAGGGCCGTCACCTTCCCCTGTCCCTGAGGCTTTTAGGAAAACATGAGTCCAAAGCCTGAGATTTGGTGAGGGCCAGGTTCCGAGGCCCGACCCACACACTGGAGTGGAACATTGCAAGGTCTGCAGAGGTGACGGGGATGGCTGGGCTCGACGTTGTATCAAGGTGTCCCTGAGGTCACTGAAGGCATGAGTGAGGGTGGTTTCTCCAGGACTTCTGAAGAAAAGAGGTCTGCTTCCGTTAGACCGACGGGTTGATTCGGCAGTAAATGTCGGGCTCCGGATTCACAAGTGTCTGTTAAACAGAGAGAACAGTGAGGTCCCCTTGCCTGCTGTGAATTTCTGGCCTAGTCGGCTGTGGTCTGGGGCCCAAGCAGCCTGGACGCTCCTCTCCCATCCTTGGAAACTCCAAAGGTCTCTTCTCACTACAGTCACCCTGTTACCTCTGTGTTTCTGGAACGGCCCACACTCTTCCCCACTGTGGCAGACACATTCTAAGTCGACCCCATAATGCCGACCTCTTGACATCTGTGCCGCTGTGAATTCCTCCCCTCCAGGGCAGCACCTGTGACCCGCTACTAAGCAATACAGTATGGCAAAGGTGACAGGATGTGATGATTTTGCCATGTGATTCCATATATATATAATGTGGTGCTGAGGATCGAACCCAGGGCCTCGCTCTTGCTAGGCCAGTGCTCTACCACTGAGCCACAGCTTAGCCCAGCCCATGTGATCCTTGACATAAGATCACATCTTCCATCTTGGCTTTGAAGAAGCCAGATGCAAAGTTGTGAGCTCCCTATGGAAAGTGACATGTGGCAAAAGATTGAGGGTGGTCTCTAGCCAACAGTCAGTAAGAAACTGCGGCCCTTGTTCGGACCGCCTGCAAGGAACTGAGGCTACCAGTAGCCACGTGATCTGGGACGCAGACGGTCCCCCAGTCAAGCCTCAGATGAGACCTGAGCCTTGGCCAGCATCTTCAGCGTCACAGAAAGGAGTGGACTGAACGGAAAGGAATGAAATAGGAAAGGGTGGAGGGGATGCAGAGGAGTGGGATGGAATCCAAGACGTGGAGAAGGACAGGAGAGAAGGACCAGGGTCCAGCGGACTGGAGTAACACTAAGTGGAGTGGGGGTAAGGGGTGGGGGTACGGAGGGACACGGGGGAAAGTTAAATGGATAGAAAGGAAATGGACGAGTGAAAAGGAGTTCTGTGGAAGCCCCGATGGAGTACACGGGCCACGCTGAAAAGGGATGGATGGGATCAATCAGAAACGGACGATGGGAACCGGTGGACGGGAGTGAAAGGCTTTTCAGAGGGGAATCTGTTCACCCCGTCAGACCCTTCAGTAGGGGAAGGACGCGGAGGGTGACCACTCTCCATGTGTCTGAAGAGGGGCACCAGATACCTCATAGCTGTCGTCTGTGTCTTCTGTTGATAGGGGAGGGACCAATGCGTGCATCGGAAGTTTGGGTGGTGGCTTCCTGGGGCTGGGAGACTGGTCCCTGGGGGTTGCTGAAGGTGGCTCCTTCTGCAAGTGAGCAGAGAAATCTATCAGCAGACGTCGTTTTCCTGGAAGATACCAACTACGCTCCTCAGAGACCCAGAGAGAGGACGGGGTCCACCCAGCTTCTCGCAGAGAGTCAGAGGAGGAAGAAGGGTTAGGACCAGGCCTCTGCTGGCCCAGACTCTGTCCTTTCTCCCACTTCCAGCCCCAGCATGTAGAATCCAGCACACCCCCCCCCCCACGGCAACCCATCCCAAGCCCTGGAGGTAGAAGGAACCAAGAGGGGCCAGTCTGACCCAGCTCCCTGTGAGACCAGGGCTCGTTTCTCCCCATCCATGACCCTGCAATGGACCACAGATGGTTCAGAGAAGACGGCTTCTCAGGCCTGACACACAGAAAATTCTCAGCTGTCTTTCCTGGGCCCACATACCTCATAGAACTGCTCTGGGAGACCTGATGGCACCTTCTAGGGGAAAATAAAGTAGTAAGGAGAGATCACAGGGCTTGGGATGGGGGCCACACCCGGAAATTCTCAGAAATAGATTTGGCCTCAAAGGTAGTTAAATTCCTTTGAGGTGGCACAGGCCTGTAATCCCAGCCTCTTGGGAGGCTGAGGCAGGAGGATCTCAAGTTCAAGGGCAGCCTCAGCAAGAGGCCAGCCTTAGCAAGACCTTGATTCAAAATAAAATATAAAAAGGGCTGGGGAGGTGGCTCAGTGGCAGACACCCCTGAGTTCAATCCCTAGGATAGGAAAGGGGGAGGGGGAGGTAGTTATGTCCCTTCTGATTCCCAGAGGGACCAAGTCTGGGCATTGTCATATTAAAGAGCAAGAAGACAAGAAGAAGAGATGAACAGGCAGAGAAGGTCTTGAGAGCCTCGGAGAAGGCAGAGGAGGAGATGCAGAGACCCAAGCTGGCCCTGGGGGTCCGCCAGAGATCACACCAGCCACCCGCCCTCAGAGAATTGCGACCGCCCTGCTGGTCTGGGAAGGGACGGAAAGTCAGAGGGTCACTGAGGTCCCTTTGGAGCACACCCACCTTTTTGACTCCGATCTGTCCCTGGGGCTCGGGTATATTGTCATACACAGGCCTTGGTTTGTCTAGAGGAAGTAAAATCCCAGCCCAGACCTGGAGTTAGAAGAGCTGGACAGGAAGGGGCTGTCTGTCCGGGACCCACCTCCTCAGTTCTCCCCCTTACATCTCTGGGGAGCTTGACCAGGGAACGTCCTGGAAACCAAGTTCTGGGTCACACAAGGCTGCTCCATGACACCGTGGGGACAGAAATCTTAAGTCCCCGCCCTGGTCTCTGCTTGTCCCAGGTGTCCTCTCTATCAGTGGAGCTGGACCCGGCAATCTCTAGGGGGCCTGGCACATCTTTCCAGAAACCCAGATCCACAGAGGGCAAAGGTGTAGCCAGCAGAGGGCACTCGAGGCTCGGGGTCCAGGCGGAGCGTGAGCCTGGATTTGGGATCAGCAGGGAGCACGGAGCTCGTCTGGCTCCGGCTTTGACAGCAATGAACCAGATTCCCTGAGACCCAGGAAGGAGAAAGGGCTGGGTGTCGCCCTGCGAGTGCTGGGGACACTGAGGCTCGGGGAGGTCAGGACTTGCCTGTGCCCAGTCCCTCGGTGGCAGAGCGGGGACGAGAGGCCAGAGCTCGCGGCTCCTGCTCTTCCCCGCCCCCACGCATGGGCCACGACGTCACTTACCGAAACTGGGCCGTGTCGCCTGCTCCCGCGCGGAGGTGGGTGGTGTGGCCTCGGGGCTGGGGCCATCCGCTGATCCCTTTGAGGGCCTGAAACGCCAGATCCCTTGTCATCCCGCACCGCTGGCTCTTGCTCCTCTCCACGAGCTCCATCCATATCCCACGTCCATTCTCAGACGACGACCCGGGCTCTAAAGTCCCCAGGGGCCGCGTACGCGGCTGCGCACCGTGGTCCGCAAACCTCCCACCAGGTGGCCCTGAGGGCCACGCCCCGTCCCCTTCCCAGTCTTACCATCTGGCTTTTCTGCTGTAGAAGAAATAGCCCAGGCCTATGACCAGAGCAATGGCAACCAGGATCCCAATAACAATGCCAGCGATGGCCCCTGCAGACAGGGAGGACTCCGGATCTAGGGAGAGAAAACCAAAACCCAGGCTTGACACACCCTCGTCCCATCCCCAGCCCCAGCCCTAAGCTTGCGGCTTCATCTTCACCGACGTTTGACAAATACTTGCTTTTCAGTCACAAGGGGGCAGCTGCACTGTTTCTGGAGTCAAGTGACCTGAGTCCAAATCTCAGCTCAGCCCAAATGCAGCCACCAGGATTGGGAGGGCGGAGGGTGAGGGGCATGAGGAAGGGGCTCTGCTCTGAAGGGGTCTTCCTGAGATGCCTTGGGGGTTCGGAGCTTTATTCCAAGTCTCCATTTCTTTATGTGAAACAAGGATGTTAATTGCTGACCCTACACATTTTTGCACATATTTTTTGAGGGGATGAAATGGATTGTGCACAGAAGCACCATCCACGGCCTGACACATCAGAGGTGCCCGATGAAAAAATGATGACAACAATGAAAGACGTTGCTATCTAGCAGCACTAAGCACCATGAGCCTTTCTATGAGCTCTCTCTCAAAAATCTGGAACTTTCCCATGAGTGTCAATCAAACCTGCTAACTCCCTGGTCCTCTTCTGAGCCTGTTGTCCACTCACAGGACCAAAGGGTTGCACTGGAGATTAAAGGAGGTCATTTGGGAGCTGCATGGGGTCCTCAGCTTAGTGGGCAACCAAAGAACACCGCTGTGAGGCGGCCAGTCTGGTTTCAAACCCCAGCCACAAGCCACAGTGGCTCACGCCTTCATTCCAGCGGCTTGGGAGATTGAGGCAGGAGGATCGAGAATTCAAAGCCAGCCTCAGCAACTTAGCAAGACCCTGAGCAACTCAGCCCGACCCCATCTCTAAATAAAATACAAAAAATTGGGGGCTGCCCCATCTCTAAATAAAATACAAAAAAATTGGGGGCTGGGGGCTGGGGATGTGGCTCAGTGGTTAAGGGCCTTGGGTTCAATCTCTGGTACAAAAAGTAAAAATCAAACACCAGCAACAGGGTTGAGTCTCTAAGTCTGTCCCTTTGAACAATGGAGGTGCTAACAGGCTGGCCTCATACTGGCTGGCAGAGAGCACCTAACAAGTATTTTTTGATACTGTATATGGAAAGGTTTGGTTCAGGCATGTAGCACAGGCTCAATAGAGAATAATTTTATTTGTTTAACAAAAACAACATATCAAGTACAAACATAAGGACTTTATAAATATTAATCTTCAACAACCCTAAGAAATAGGTCCAATTATTGTTTGTTTTACCGATAATAAATCAGAGGCCCAGAGATGTTAAGTAAGTTGCCCAAGATCACACAGCTAGTAAGTACTGGAGCCAGGATGTGAATCTCAGTAGCTAGCAACACTATGCTGCCTTCTCAAGACCTCAAGACAGTTCTTGACAAGTCCAGTTGTTATTAACGTGATTCCTGATCCTCTCCACCATCCCTCTACCTCTCCCACGGGCTATCTCCTGATGCGTTGTCTTTCTAAATACCTCCGGTAGGTGGGTGTCACAAACCCACTTGCAGGTAAGAAAACTGAGGCTCAGAGCAGGCTGCAGAGTTGACCAGGGCACACAGCAAGAAACAGAGGGTTTGGGATTCAAAGCTCCCGACCGGCCGGGAACTTGCAGTACATTCGCTGTCACAGGGTAGGTGGCTGGAGCCAGCAAGGCAGAGGCCACCCGGATCCCAAGGAAAGACGCACCGGAGAGACTCACCTACTTGGATCAGCACAGAGGCAGAGCGGGCCAGGCCAGTCAGAGAGTTCGAGGCTGTGCAGCTGCAGATGCCCTCGTGCTCCCGGGTCAGAGCCCTGATGACCAGCTGCTCCCCCGTGTACACCCCCGAGTGGTGTTCCAGGACCCAGCGGTATTCCGCCTCTGGCTGGGACGCGGCCCGGCACTGCAGGGTCAGGCTGGAGTTGAGCTTCCCCTGGACGGTGCCCACCACAGCAGGCGGAGACCCGCTGGTGATTTCCACTCCGTCAGGGCCATCTGCAGGCAAAGCCACACGTCTGCCAAATGACCCCATTCTCCCCTTCCCTCTTCCACATTGTAAATGGTGCTTCCCCCGCCCCAGCCCCTGCTCAGCTGGAACTGAGGGAATTCCAGTCTGCAGCCCGGAGACAGCGGAGACAGCGGCTGTCTAAGTTGAAAAGAATCAACTGTAGGGAGGAGGCACATGGAGATAGGGGTTCATCTGTAATCCCAGCAGCTAGGGAGGCTGGGGCTGGAGGATCATGAGTTTGAGGCCAGCCTCAACAACTTAACAAGACCCTGTCTCGAAATAAAAATAAAATAAAGAGCCAGGGTGTAGTTCAGTGTTAGAGCGTCCCTGTGTGCAATCCCTAGTACCACCAAAAAAAAAAAAAAGTGGGGGGAAGAAAGAAAGAACGGAATCTTAGTAGAAGAGGAGGGAAATGCTCCCCCTTTGTCCTGAGCTGTGTGACAAGCAGATACTGGTCCCCACCATGGGATGGAAATTGCCATTACACAGGAGAATTCTCTCCAAGGAACCTCACAAGGCGCCAGGCTTCAGAGAGTCTCTGCTCTCTGGGCAAGCAGCCCCCAAGCACCAATACTGTGGATTCCCAATGACATAAATATGTGGCAAATTTTCTTCACCACTCCAGCGGGGAACCGCTGGCTCCGAGCTCTCCTATGTACATGAAGTCGCAGTTGGATTTCCATCCCAACTAAAGGAGTCTGGAAGCCAAGCCTTGCTCAAATTCATGAAAGAATGCATTTCTCATCTTCTGGAAAGACGTGTGCACAGTGTCTTGTTGGGATATTCTAGGAGAAGAAAGCCCTGCCCATGCTCCTCCCCAGCATCCTTTGAATCTGTTCTTTCCTCCCCATCTGAACCCCAGGACCCGACCTGCTTCCCTCGCTGTGCCCAGCCCCTCCTGGACTCTGCATCCCAGGCTCCACCTCCACCCAGCCCCCAGAGGGGTCTTCCTGGGCACAAACTTGATGCCATGGCTTCTCGGCTCAGAACCTTCCATGACCCCCCCCCACAGTGTCCTTGGGACAAAGTCCAGGGCTGATGAGGTCATTCATAACGTGAATGACCCTCCTAGACCTCTCCAACCCCGTCACCCACCTTTCCACATTTCCTGCTCTCATCCCGGAGCAAGATCCTATCAGAGACGCCACCAGGCCTGTCACGCTGCATTGCTGACCCCTGCTCATCCTCCAGTTGCACGGGGGACCTCAGCTCTCACAATGGCCTTCCCACATCCCTCGTCTGGGGCTTCCTTTGGGCTCCCAAACACCCCCTCTTTCCCCACGTAGCAGCATTGATGGTTCGGTATTTTATTTGCCTGCTTTACCCACCTCCCATCCCCGGGAGGCCGTGACACTGGGAATCATGACGACCGACTGCCCGCCCTGTTGCCTGGCCCAGAGGACACAAAATAAATATTTTTGCTTCACGATTAAAGTAGGAACGAATGGAGAAGGAGCAACAGAGAAGCCTGTTCTTAACCCCTGCTGCTCAACAGGTGGAAAAGTGAACCCCAAAGCCAGGCACACAGCGGCGCACGCCTACGATCCCAGCGGCTCAGGATACGGAGGCGAGTTCAAAGTCAGCCTCAGCAACTTAGCAAGGCACTAAGTGAGACCCTGTCTCTAAATAAAATATAAAAGGGGGCTGGGGATGTGGCTTAGGGGTTGAGCGCCTCTGGGTTCAATCCTTGTACCAAAAAAAAAAATAGAAAAAGTGGACCCCAACTTTGTCTGAAACCTCTTCTCCCCAATCTTTCCATACCAGTTCTTAACTCATCCATCCTTAGGTAGCTCAAGCAAACAGGCCTGGAGGCCGCTCGCCTTCCTGCCTGCCTGCCCGCCATCGACCCCCGTCTGTGTGGGCCAGGCCAGGGCTCGACCCTGCGCCACATCCCCAGCCCTGGAGCCGCAGGGGACGCTTCCCTTCCGTGCCACGTCTCATCTCCCAGCAGCAGACCTGTGAGTTCCCTGCCCTGAATCCACTGACAGCTTCTTGTTACCCCACAGTGGTGGTGGCTCGGTCCCAGCCCCGTCTCCCCTCACTGGATGACTGTGGCCACCATAAGGCACCTGGAAGACCTCCAGTGGGAACGGTGTGACGGACCCAGGGCGCAGCTGCAGGCTGACATCCACCCCCATCCTGCCAGGAGCTGCACCTGCCAGCATCTCGGGGCGCGGGGAGGCACCCCTTCCCGGGGGACCTGGGGGGTGACCCCCAGCCTCTGCTGCCGTCAGCGCTGCCATCCAACCCTCCCTCCCTCCCCCCTCCGCTGGCCTCTCAATCCGATGGCTTCCCGGTCTCCATGGCCCCTGCCAGGAACGTTTTCCCCAATAACTCCCCGCCTGTGCCTCCCACTGAACCCCACCCCAGGGCTGCTCTGCCAAGGACGGAAACACAAAGCCCCTGTCGGAACCTCCGTCTCTCCCACTTCTGCCCCTGCCTTGTCGCAAACGGGCCAGCGGGTCCCTGTCAACACCTGTCTGGTCCTGTCCTTGGGTTGTAGCAGCGAGCAATGAGCCGTGAGATGCAGGCCAGGTCACCGGCTCTTTGAATCACTCGAGGGTCTTTACACTCCCTCCAGAGTAAACAGGAAAGCAAAGTGGTAGTTAATTTGTAGAAAAGAAAGAGAAGCAAAAGGAGCTAATCGGAAATGCGTCAAGAGAAAAAGATTCGTGGGACTGCCTCGGACAGGGCCCCCGGATGTGGACTTGAGGCCAGGGGCCACGGCTCAAGGGGTCTCCATTTGTCGGGGGACAAAGATTCCTTTAGTAGCTCGGGCCACTAACTTCTGACCAGCTACTGACCCCAGTACCCCCATTACATGGAATTGACGGGTAGATGAAGCCCCCCAGGTAGGATGGCCACGGTGACAGTTCCAGAGAAGACCAACACAGGTCAGAAGCTCCCCACCCACCGTGACAGGGGAGGTGAACACCCGATTGGTGAGGGTTGCTGACGGGCCACCCCAGTTTTCAAGTTAACATACACAGTGATGAAGTTGGGGATAGCACTGTCCCCTCCGTCGTCCTCTGCCTGGAGACGGCCCCACCCTTCCTTGCAGTGCTTTGGCTGAAGCGCCCCTTCCCGTGGGCTTTGTTTTCTCCTCCCTTCACCCCTAGCCAAGGGCTCTTGGTGACTTGGGTCTGACCCTCCACCTTCCTCTTCGCAGCACAAGAGCTAAGCTCTGGAGGGTCAGCGCCCTGCTCTCCTGCGACGCTTCCTCTGCTCAGAGCTCCTGGGGCTCCCGCTATGGCCCATGGGGCCAGCACCTCCTGGTCCTCACCCGGTCACCCCGCCACCTGGCCCTCACCCCGTCACTGGCCACCTCCTCCCCTCCCACCCTCGATCACTCCCTCCCTCCTCCCCTGCCTCCTGCAGTTCCTCCAACACACCAAGCACGGTCCCCCCTCACGGTCCCCCGTCACGGGCCGTCCCTGCCCCTGAGGTTCTTGTCCCTCAGCCACTGCCTGAGACATAAAGTCCCCCAGGACAGGCAGGCTGTCTTGTCCCCGCCCAGGCTCACGGCTGGCATGGAGCACATGGTGAGTGAGTGGAAAGAAGAACCTGGAAGGAGGAGGACGCGGTCACCACCCCGGGCCACTCACAGTTGATGGTCAGTGTGAGGGGGTCACTGCGAGCCCGGCTGCCCCAGTGCCAGATCTCACATGAGTAGGGCCCCATGTCATCCCGCCGGGGGCTGTGGATGACCAGGGTCATGTTGTCATCTGACAGGGCCAGGTGCTCGCTGGGCAGGAGGGGCTGATCACTCACGAACCACTGGACCGCCACCCTCTGATGGGCGGTCTGGCAGGTCAGGTTCACGGGGCCGACGGTCTCCACGAGGTCCAGGCTCGGGGCCTCCACCTGAGGCTTGGTCAGGTTTTCTGGAAACACGTGGAGACATGGGTCAGATTCAAGGAAGCTTCCCCGCCCCCGCACACGGGGCCCACAGGGGCTCCCCGGGGTGTGTGCATGTGCGTGTTGTGGGTAGTGTGTGTGTGCTTGTGTGTGCATGTGTGTGCATGTGTGCATGTATGTATGTGTGTGCGTGTTGTGGGTAGTGTGTGTGCATGTGCGTGTTGTGGGTAGTGTGTGTGTGCTTGTGTGTGCATGTGTGTGTGTGTGTGTGTGCGTGTTGTGGGTAGTGTGTGTGCGCATGTGTTCTGGATCAAACTGTGTGGTACATGTGGCACGTGAATGTCTCCTGTGGTCAAGTGTGTCATATAAATATTGTGTGTGGTGCACGTTTGTGTGTCTGTGAATGTGTGTTTTGTGCCTGCTGTGTGTGTTGTGTGTGTTGTGAGTGAGGTGTGTGGGTGGGATGGAAGGACACCTCGTGTGTGAGCCTGTGTTACACATGTGCATATGTTCTGCATGCAATCGTGGGTGCTGTGTCTGCAGTATCGTTTGTGTTATGGGTGTGTGTTGTACGTTCTGTGTTTATGCTTTGTGTATGGCTGTGCTGGGTGTGAATGGCCTGTGTGTATATTTGTTGCAGTACATAGTACGTTTTCTGCATTATGTATCTTAAGTGTCTGCAACGTTGGGTGGATCCTGAGTGTGTTGTGTGTTATGTGTGTTCACGTTTCACGGGAGAGTGTGTTGTGTGTTCGTGGTATTGCTCGTTGTATACACGTACATGAAATTTGTATGTCTTGTGTGTTGTTAAAGTATTGTGACTATGTGCGAGTGTATGGAGGGTTGTGGGTCTGTGTGCAGTGTGTGAGTGTTGCGTGTCTTGGTTATGTAATGCAGAGTATCGAGTATGTTGCACACGCATATCTTGTGCATGCTCTACATGTGCGTGTTGTGTGCGTGCTGTGTGCCTACAGCATTGTTTCATGTGTTGTATATGAGTTGCGTGTCTGTGGTGTGTGTCGTATGGGTAAGTGTGCATGCACACATGGTTATTGGGGGGCTGTGTGTGTAGGGAATGTTGTGTTAGTGTTACACGTTGACAATCAACCCCTCATCCACAGAATCCAGCCGTGGACAGCCATGGAGAGCCAACAGGGTCTCCTGGGGGACGTGCCCAGCCAGGGTCCGGGTCCTTCCCTGAGGTGGGAGTGCGACTCAGCCACCAGACAAGTGGGACGTGCCCGCTCTCGGGTCCCCCTCCAACTCTGGGGTATTGGTGGGGCTCGGTGTTAACTGTTTTCTCAGCCCCCCTGAGGACCTCACTGCGGTCACTGACTCTTTCTCTAGGACACGGCATGTTTTCTGGGCCACCTGAGACCCAGCCAAGCATCTCTCTCACACAGAGTGGCCAAGGGCCCCAGATGAGACCTCCCGGTGGCCTCTGACGTGGAGGGCCTCTGATTCTGAGAAGAACAAAGAGGGGGACCAGGGAAGGGGACTCACCCAGGACGTGGACTCGAAGAGCACCCAGGCGGGTCAGGAGGGTGGCACTGTTGTACACCAAGCACCTGAACATGCCCTCGTGCTCCCTGGACACGGCGTCGATGGTCAGTGTCCCCGTGGTGGAAGACAGGATGGAATTGTTGGGGAAAATCCAGGAATAGGTAGGGTCTGGGTGGGACTGCGCTTCCGCCTGGAAGTTCACGGTGGAGCCTTCTAGAACCTCGACCACCTCCCCGCTGGGAATACCTGAATCCAACTTGATTTCGATAAGGTCGGGACCATCTGGGAGGACAGGAACAATGACAGCCGTTACAACGGCGTCGGCCACAGCTCTCTTGCAGGGGGACTCGGGATCCGTAAAGACCGCGTTCCCTCCTCCCGCTCATGGGCAAAGGAGGTGTGGGCTCCGGGTTAACGTCAGCTCCGTCCCCGGGTGAAGCAGGACTGGAAGGCCCAGCTCGGGCCAGCTGAGGCTCCCTGCCACGCCTGACCCAGGCAAGACCGTGAGGTTTGGGAGCTCAAGTTTAGGTCCATTTCGTTGGAGTTTCCAGTAGCCTCTGAGCAGAGATGTCAAACCGTTCTAAGTTCAAGTTCAAAGACAGACAGTTCTGCATTTGGTTGGGATTTAGGGTTGTGAGATTGGATGCGGCACCCAGGAACTGAGTGTCGACAAGGGACTGGGGACGGGGGACAGAAGGAGACTCACAGTTGACCTCCAGGAAGATGGCATCGCTGCTCTGGAACTCAAGGGCATCCCAGGCTTCACACTGGTAAGTCCCAGAGTCTTCCCGCTGGACCGTGAGGATGGTGATCGTCTTGCCATCCGTGGACAGCTGCATGCGCTCGTTCAACACCAGGGACTGATTCTGGAAGACCCAGCGGATGGTGACGTGGAGTTCCGTGGTGTCACAGTAGAAAGTCACCCTGTCCTTGTACTCTGTGGCTGTGCTCTGAGTGACTGAGATGGTGGGCTTGTCCGGGGATTCTGCAGAGGAAGAAAGCAAGAGACGGAGGTGGAGGCGGAGACACAGACGGGGGAGAACGAGGTGTAGCCAGAGAGGGATCCAGGGATGGATCAGGACGGCCAGGAGACACACGGAGCTGGGCTCTCCGGGTTCTAGGTACAGGATCTATATCCCCTCTCAGACATTGTGCAAATAAAGCAGAGCATCTAGGACGTGAGAGGGGATCCGTCAATATCAGCTGCAAGGACAAGCAAGCTCGTCCCAACACCACTGAGGGCCCCCTAGCCCCTGTCAGCCAACACTCCTCTCCTGCGGCCGTGATGGCCACAGTCCACCCCGTTGCTCCTGTCCCCAACACAGCTACCTGGGCCCCTCACACTCATCCGATTGGGACTTTGGGCGCGGAACCCAGACGGTTGATCTCTGTGGAGGCCGAGATCAGGAGGACAGCCTTGTTCTCTGCCCACACCTCTGAATCTGCCATGGGCCTGGGGTGGCCAGGGGGGTCCCAAACACAGAACAACACCCTGCTCACTTGAGGTGGTGTCAGGCAGGATGGCACTGGGGGTGAGCTGGGCTGCCGCGGGAGGACTCCACGCTGTCAGAAGTGAGGCTGGAGGGGAAGAGGAGGCATTGAGGGAGGCCGAGGTCACAGATTCGGCGTTCCATCCCAAGAGGCTTGTCCTGCCCACCGCTTCCTGGGGCTGTAACCGAGGACACGCTTGTCTCTTCTCAGAATCTCCATTTCCTCCACCGTAAAATGGGCAAAATATCATCTGCCTCCCGGGTGGGGGGTGGGGGATAATAAATCTCGGCAAGCCGTCCCGGGGCTCCCCCACGGTCACTGTGTTCCCTTCGACTGCCCTTACTCCCTGGAGGTGCACGGGGGTCCTCCCCATTCCACAGAGAGGAAAGCAGGTGCTCAGAGAAGGGATGTCCCTGGCTAAGACCGTGAGAGTAAGTGGCAGAAGCTGACCTTGAGCCTGGCCTGCCACGCCCTGAAGACACCCTAGTCTGTGAACCCAGGTTGGGGACAGAGGGCAGCCCCTGAGCGAGAATTTCCACTCTCACCTCCAGTGGGAGGGATTCACCTTCGCCACCTCCTCGGACTCGCCCTCAGGACACTCCCCATCTTCTAGGGGATGGGGAGGGACAAGGAACAAGGTCGCAGTTGTTCCGAGTTCTGCATGTGGCCCATCTGCAGAGTCATGGAGGCTGGCCGGGGCTGGGGCGTGGCAGGCTGCACTTGTGTGACACCCCGTCCCTCTCCACAGCCCAGTGAACAGGGGCTGCCTCCAAGCCCCTCGCCCCCCTCAAAAGACCCCAGTTTGGCTTGAGCACTGCCCCTTTTCGCAGCATCTGGTGATGTAGGGCGTGGGCTCCCAGGACGGCTGGCATCAAATATGGCCTCTGGTGCTTACCGGCTCGATGGATGTGGGCAAGGGCTTGCTCTCTGTGAGCCTCAGTTTATTTCTATCTTTCTTTCTTACTTTCTTTATTTAGGTACCAGAGATTGAATCTGGGGTGCTCAAATCCCGAGCCACATCCCCAGCCCTTTTTATTTTTTATTTAGAGACAGGGTCTCACTAAGCTCCTTAGGACCTCCCTAAGTTGCAGAGGCTGGCTTTGAACTCGAGATCTTCCTGCCTCATCCTCCCAATCTGCTGGGATTACAGGGTGTGCCACTGTGCCCCGGCCTCGGTTTCTTTCGATGGTAGTAGTGATGGAGCTCGCCTTTTTCTGCCTCTGATGCCATTGGAGGTTAAGGTCCCTGGCTCAATGAAACTGTCTGGGTTTCAATCACAGCTTTGTCATCTTTCTGGACAAGTGATGTTCTCTGAGTCTCGGTTTCTCCTTTTGTAAAATGAGGGTACCGATCGTTCCCATCTCACGTGACAGTCACAAGGACAAATGAAAAGACGTGAGAACATCTACGGTGGTCCTCCTCCTCAGACCTGCCTGAGATGGGAGCCTCCCTCTGGGGAAAGCGCTCACCTGGCCTCCCCTCCTGTTTCCGTCTCCAACAGTCCTGACTTCCGCCCCATCAGGAGGAGGCGAGCCTTGAGAGAAACTCATAGGCCCTGCTGCTCGCTCTCAGCTTCCCCAGGACCCCAAGTCCCCGCGGCCTTCCAGTCGGCCAGCAAGCCTCCAGCCCAGAGAGGGAGGAGCTGGCCTCAGAGTCACACAGCAAGGTGGGCAACGTCCCGGCTCTTCCCATGACCCACTGCAAAATCAGGTCTTCACCTCCAGAACGCTTTTCCTGTCCAGAGAGTCTCGTTCTCCCTCATCTCAGATGTTCTTTCGGCATGAATTTCGCACCTGGGCCGTGTCCTGAAGCCTGGGATGGGCCCCTCACTCTGTCCACCTGTCTGTGCTCCAGGGCTTTCTGTGGGTCTCTCTGTCTGTCTCCCTCCTCCCTCTGTACCCCCCTCCCCGCCCCCTGTCTTCCTGCTGTCTCTGCTCTGGCTGCCCCTCTCTGCCCAGCTCTCCCTGGCCTCGCCTCTGGTTCACTTTCTACTTGATTTTCCCTTTTTCTCTGTCCCTCTCTGCTTCTGTGGCTCTCCCTGCCGTCAGTCTCTCCCGCTCCCACTACATACCTCGGGCCTTTCTCTGCCTCTGTCTCTCTTTCTGCACATGCGCGCACACACACGCACACGCACACATGCACACGCACACGCACACACACGCACACACACACACGCACGCACACACACACGCACACGCACACGCACACACACACGCACACGCACACATGCACACGCACACATGCACACACACACGCACACACACGCACACGCACACACCTGGCAGACAGACGCGCGGAGCCCCTCACCCACCCCACCTGGGGAAGCAGGGCTCACCTGAGAGCAGGATTCCCCTCCACGGGTGGCTCCGGGAGTCAGCAGGCCCCATGGGTCCCCGGCCCTGGCTCCAGGGTGCCAGGCCGTCTGTCTCCTTGGCTCCTTCCACAGACAGCTGGTCACTCCAGCCGCAGCCCACCAGCTGCCCTCCCGTCCGTCCCTCCTGCTCTGTGGCAAACTCCCCAGAACTGCGCTGACAGTGGCTCCCGGGCAGATGGGTGGGGGCGGGGAGGGAACTTTGGCCTCACCTCTGCCCTCCCACACCCCAGGGCTCACTTTCCTTCTGTCCCCAGCACGCAAGCAGGATTCCAGGATCCCCAGGACCAGGAACTGAGGTCACCATGGCCAACAACAATAAAAACAATCATGGCCAGGCACTCAGGGCTCAGCTGGGCTGGATGCCAGGCTCACAGGGAGCAGCCTGTAAATATCAGATGAGCTGAGACTGTGCGTGTGATATAGGTCCTGCTCGTACACCGCTCTCAACTCAGACAGGAAGCAACTGGCCAGGGCTGGGAAAGCCCCGGGGAGGGCTTCCGCGAGGACCTGGAGAACATCTGAAGGTTTGATAGAGGAGAGTCACTTTTTTCTTTCTTTCTTTCTTTTTTATTTATTTATTTTGCTGAACAGGGTATTAAACCTGGGAATGCTCTACAACTGAGCTACAGTGTCTGTGTGTCCGCCAGGTTCAGATGTAGGAATCCCAGCCTTCGGGGCCGAGGCAGGAGGAGCGGGCCCTTGGGAGGCAGTTGAGTCCCTCCCACCGAGAGGAGTGACCTTGCCAACAGACTCTCCTTCTCTGATGGGGGTATAACGGGAAGAGGGGGGTCCGCAACCCTGATGAAGGCTGTCGCCAGAATCCTGGGCCAGCCCTGCTCCGGGCCCCCAGCCCCCAGGCCAAGAGCAGTGTCTGCAGCGCCGTCCCCCAGCAGCGCCTGGTGAGCCTGTCCCGGAACAGCCAGGCAGGACCCAGCCCCGCAGGGTCAGAGTCAGCCGGCAACCAACCTGAGCCAGGGGGACCAGGAGGACATGGTATGGGATGTGGAGAAGATGCTGAGGCTGGCCCTCGTCCCCGGGCGCTGCAGCAGTGGCTCTGACCACAGAAAGACGGCACCCTATGGGCACCCCAGGGGCACCCCATGTGGAGCCTCTCTGGCCCCGTGGGAGTTCTGGTGGGCAGGCCCGAGGGCCAGGCCTGCCATCAAGAGCTGCACCCGCCACTCGACGGTGGAGAAGAACCAGGCTCCAAGCCACGGCCCTCAGCTGGCCCCAGCAGGCACCGCCGCCTTGATCAGCCCCTTGCGCGACAGCAGGCTTCCCCGCTGTAGGGACCGGGGGCTCTGCAGACCCCACCCCCAGCCAACACGGAGAAGCTCTGGTTTCCACACACGCGGTGGAAAACTGAGAAGTGGAACAGGGTGAGCGATGTCACCATCCATCTCGGGGTTTAAGTTGAGTTAGTGTAATGAGGCTCACGGAGGCAAGGTGACTTGAGAAGTTACCAAGTCTCTAGGACAAAGGGTTCTGGCCCCCCGGCTCTCGGCCCAGGTGGCACTGTCGAAGGCCCAATCGTGGTGGTACCGAATTTCCCCAGGTGCCCTGGGCTCCCTCCAGCCCCACCTTCTCTGCACACCTGGGTCAGTGAATCCTGGGGCCATGTCACCCGACATGCCCCCAGCTCAGTGCCCCCTGTGCTGAGAACACCTCTAAAATTTCTCTGGCCTCACCCCTTGCCCAGCATCCAAAGGTCCCCACCCCGTCTACCTCCTGGCTGCCGCCTTCCCCTCCGCACGGTCCCCCTGGGCTGGGGTCCCACCTCCTCCGACCCTCCTCCCCACCCAGAGGACAGAGTGGCCGCTGGAATGGACCTCCCAAAGTGACCCTTTCATGCAGGACCAGGGTTTTTTCCTCCCTACATGCCCACCCACCCAACCCCCAGGGCAGATTCCATCTTTTCCTGTCCCAAAGAAGTGTATAGGAGGGACTTTGGGGACCTCCCTGCAGGACAGCTGCTGCTTTATTTTCAACAGGTAAAAATGAATAACCTCAGTCCTTCCCACCTCCCCCGTCACCTGCCAAGTCCCAGCCACACAGCCTAGCTCCAAATCGTGTCTTCCCTCGAGGGACCCAAGTGGCCTCCCAACACCCCTTTCCCCCTCTGGGGCCACCTTTCAACCCAATCAGCTCAGCAGAGATGTGTGTGGCCCTACTGTGTGCTGGGTGCCGTTTTAGGTGCCTGAGACACACCAGCACATTTGCCACAGGTAAGGACAGGGACAGTTTCGTGTAGGAAGTGAGAGGCCCCCAGGAATCAGGACGTGAGAGAGAAAAATCAGTTACATGAGGACGACCCCCCCCCCCCCACGCAGCCAGGACCGTGCAGGGACTCTGGCAGGTCCTCTGAGAAATGCGAGTGAAGGTCAGGATTCCTGTTTGAATGGTGAATTTCTGAATGTCACTTCAACCTGGGGTCACGTGGGCCACAGCTTCAGGTGGGTCCCACATGGAGGGTGAAGGAATAGTGAGACGTGGGCCAGGCCCAGGTGCACACCTGTCATCCCAGCCACTCAGGTGGCTGAGGCAGGAGGAGGGCAAGGTTGAGGCCAGCCTCCGTGACTGGGCGAGACAACTGGAAGGACTGGGGCGTAGCTCAGTGGTAGAGCCCTCGTGGGTTCCATCCCCAGGAGGAAGGACGGAAGGAGGAGGAAAGGAAGAGAAAGAAAAGGGAAGGGACAGGCGTGGAGAGGTGAGCCCGCATCCTAACGTGCTGGGCCGGCTGGCGGCTGGCGGCTGGCGGCTGGCGTGGAAGGGGCCTGCCAAGCTGAAAGGGTTAACAATTATTTTTTTTTCTTTTTAAGGAAAGAGACTGGGGGTGATTCCAATCCTTACTCCACAGGAACCTCAAGTCGGTCAACACAGGCCGGGCCAAGACCGCTCCTGTTTTTGGTTGGGCGAGGAGAGGGCGCCTCTGGACAGGGTGTCTGTCCACGGCTGCTCCTAAGGCAGCTGACTGCCCCGGCTGAAGGCCAGGAGTCCCCGGCCAGCCCTATCCAAGAAGGGGACTTTCTGTTCTGGCCATGATGGCCCAGGAAGGCCACAGGCGCCCCAGCTGTGGGGGGGACAGCTGGCTCTCAGTCCCGAGTCACTGCCCTCACTCGCTAACCTAGAAGCAGCCCCGCATCTCACTCCATGCCCCTCCCCAACTCACCCCCAACCTCCTGTCAGCCACCCAGTCCTGGGGTCCCACCCATTAACTGACTCTCATCTCCTCCTTCTCCCCCACCCCTCTCCTCTCACCCCTGCCCCGGCCTCTTCCCCGGCCCCAGTCCCTGGACTCACCCCCTCCGATCTGCCCGCCGTGCTGCTGACCACCTTCCCAAATCCCAGCTCTGAACTGGAGTCAGGGAGGTTGCAAGAGCCCTACTGACCCCAAGGAGCATGGGCTGCCTCAGTTCTTTCTGGGTGTATCCCGGGCCACAATCCCCCGGTCTCCACGTGGTGAACACAGAACTCCTAGCTCTGGCCTCTGGAGCCACCCCCTCAAGACTTTATCCTCAGCAACTCTGAGTTGGCCCAGAGGTGCGGCTCCTAGTGCACACACACACACACACACACACAGACTCAGAATAATTTTCCTAGGTGCATTCAGGAAACTTATTTTCCTCTGAAGATTGCTTCATCCGTACCTTGCTGAGCTTAACTCCATAGGATTTCTGAGTCAGAAAGGAGAGAAGAATCGAATCCCAGGAGCAGGGTGGGAAAAGGACTTTCCTCTGCAGCTAAGCAAAAACCAGACCGTCTCCCACCCCACCTTCAAAAGGCGGAAAAAGAGACAAACAGATAAGGTCTCTGCTCCGAGGATGACCCTGGGGTCCCAGAGAACCTCAAAGTAGAACAAAGCTTCTGTTGCAATGGTGACTGGCGCTGGGGTCCATCCCAGCATGGCAGCTTATATGATCTCTGCCCAGATGTGTGCAGGAATGAGGCAGCCGCGTGGCACCTTGGTTCCAGTCCCCATTGTTCTCTGCCAGCCTCTGTGTATTAGAAGGAGCCCCACAGCACAGCCGTGCAGGGTCCAGATGTGGGGTAGATAGGAATGGGTTCAAAGCCGAGCTCCCAGGCTTGCTAGCTGTGTGAGCCTGAGCAAGACACTGAGCCTTTTCAAGCCTCAGTTTCTTCTTCTGGGTAATGGGTATGGCCATAGTCCCTCCCCGCTGCATGACCTGAGATGATGAGCTTTTGAATGTGATGTCTCTGCAGAGGGGGAAACAGGGCAGGTGCCTGGGCAATGAGGCTGTAGCCATTTTTCATGCTCCCACGAAATAGTGGCCAGGCAAAGCTACCAGGTCCTAAGGCCTGGAACCTGTAAGTGTCATCATATAAGGAAGAAAAGGGTGTTTGCAGGTGGATTAAGTTAGGGATCTTGAGGGAAGGAGATAATCTTGGATTATGCAGGTGGCTCCTAAATATAGTCACAAGGGTCCTCCAAAAGAGCAGAGGGAGATTGCACAAGTGGAGAGAAGACAGCAGCGTGGAGAGGGCAGAAAGAGATGGGGCCACAGCCACGCAACACAGCCACCTCCGGAGCCTGGAAGAGACGAGAGCAAATTCTCCCTTGAAGCTTCTGGAGGAGGCAGCACCGTCAGACACCTTGATTTCAGCCCAGCGGAGCTTCTGACCTCCAGAACTGTGAGGGAATAAAGGTTGCTTAAAGCCACCAAACACGCGGAAATGTGTTGCAGTGGCCACAGGAAACACGATCCTTGTGGTCCTTTTTTAGGGGGTGGTATCAGGATTGAACTCAGGGGCACTCAACCACCAAGCCACATCCCCAGCCCTATTTTGTATTTTATTTAGAGACAGGGTCTCACTGAGCTGCTTAGGGCCTTGCTAAGTGGCTGAGGCTGGCTTTTAACTCACGATCCTCCTGCCTCAGCCTCCCGAGCCACTGGGACTCATGGTCCTTTAATGCTGCAGAGCTCTTTCCCCCTGTAGGAAGCAGCTGTGTTCAGCTTAAGAATCACCTGGAACTGGTTTAAAATCAGGCTCCTCGGGAACCTCGATTGACTGGGTGTAGGTTGTCAGGAGCTGCCCTGGATGCAGACACCTTCACGTCCTGATGCCCCGGGGCTCTGACCATGATAGGGCCAGGTCAGGACCACAAGGCGTGGCTCCAGGAGCAGGCGTCCCCCACGGGGTTGAGCTCCACTCACCTGTCCCTTTGGAATCCTACCCCTTTGCCCTTTTGGGGATAGAATGTTCCATGGAACCTCCCCTTGTGTGTCCCCTATATAAGAATAAAGAATCCCGGTGGCTCTCTCTCTCTTTCCAAGGACCCTTAAGGTCGCAGCGCTGTCTCCGGACTATTAAAAAGGTAATTCTGTGTGGTCGCGTGCTTTCTTTCTCATTTTCTTGAGTTACTGAAATAGTCAGATCTGTGAACCCAGCATTAGGTCACCAGCAAGGATAGATGGTGACAGTTG